TGCAAGGCCGCAGCCGCCCAGGCGTGGATGTGCCACGGTTTACTGAAACCGGTTCCGTGTTCCTGGTTGTCCCTGGTTCATGGTTTGGTTTTGCTTCACGTTATGAGCAATACTGCGGCCAATGTCTTTGGACACATGTCCCGACCTTCTGGAGCTTGTTGGTGGCGCGTTACCAGGGGTGACTCTGCCCCTAGGGGACACTGGGTCCTGTCTGGGGACGTTGGTGGTTGTTAAGCCTCGGGGCTCCCGGCAGACAGTGGGTGAGGATATGCCCCAGTGCCCAGGACAAGCCCAGTGTCAGCAGTGCTGAGGACCCCAGAGCTGCCATAGGGAAGAGTCCCAGCTGTGAGACAGCTGAGGTGAAGCTAAGTCCGGATGGATTTTGCCAACAATTATGAGAGAAGCCAGGTCAGTGGGCCCTTTTGTATTCCTGTTATTCTGCCCCAGCAGAACAGAGGGATCTTACCCACCCCGTATTCAGTCAAGCAGATCGCACCTCCGAGAGTTGGGGCAGTTGTTTCCTGGTGCACGAGTAGCGTCAGACCCTCTGCCCCTAGACCAGCAGTGGCCCTGAGGTTGCCTTGTTCTCAGTCGCCCCAGCTCGGGGCCTGGCTGGTGTCCCCGCCCCGGGGCTCATCCCCAGACCCCTGTGTTTCAGCAGAGCACGTGGCCGCGACAGCCGAGCATCCAGGGTGCTGGGCGCTGGCCGTCCACCATCAGAGCCACATGCCGCCCGTCTGCTGTCGCTGTTGCCTTTACATCTACCCACCTTTTCCTTGAATCGACTTTAAAAAAAGACTTTATAGTCCTACTGTAGATAGCAGCTAGGTGTTAAAATCCTGTGATACGAAGAGCTGGCTCTTGGGAAGAGGAGTCGCTGCCAGCGTTAGGTGGCCTGTGAGGCCTGCTGGTGGCACCGAGCCCTAGCCAGGGTGGGCAGTTTCCTGCCTCCGGATGGGTAGAGGGCAGCAGGTGCCCCCGGGCCACGTCCCGGGGCGGGGTCGGGGGGCCCCAGACTGGGAATGTGCTACCTTGGTCAGGTCATTCAGCCTGCGGCCCCCTGGGGGCCTGAAGCACCTGACCACGCCACACTGGTCTATAAAGTCTTTAAAATGAAGGTCTCTCCCCTTCGGCGCTGCGGACATTGGGGCTGTGTCCCCTTGGGGCTGTCCTGGGCACCATGGGGGGGCTGAGCAGCATCCCTGGCCCTACCCACTCAATGTGTCACCCAAGCTGTGACAACCACAGATGTCCCCTGGGGTCACAGAGTGGATCCTGGTGGAAATCCACTGGCCTAGATGACCTCAAAGGACCTTACTTTGTTGAGAGTGGCCCTGAAGCCCCTTTGGGGAAGACCCCAAATACTGCAGCCCAAGGGAGTCTTATTCCTCCTGGGGTGACCTTGTCCTCAGACCCCAGGCCTTGGGGCCACCTCCCGGCTGCCTTGCACAGAGCAGTGGCTTTTCTGAGACCGAGGTAACCGAGGGCTTCTTACTGGCCGACAAACTGAAGGCCCCCAGGGTCCTCCATGCCCGGGGACAGATGCAGAAGCCCCAGGCACTGAGTGTGAGCAGCAGGCCCGCTGTGCTGGGACAGGTGGCCTCAGGCCCCTGAGCCACTCCAGCCCTGCACCCAAGGCTAGTGGGGGGCGGGCTGGCCTGCGGGCTGACTGGGGTGTGGCACGGGCTGGAGGTGTGAGTGGTCCTGCCCTAGGGAGGCTTAGGACAGAGTGGGAGTACTCCCAGCGGCTGAGGAAGGAGAGGCCACGGGCTCCATCTCTGTGACGTTAATGCAACCAGTCAGTCACCGGCTTCTCCGACAACTTCTAACTTGATGCTGCTTCTTAAGCCAGACCCTGTGCGCCGACCGGCTCTGGCCGTCAGAACAAAGGCCCACAGGCCGGCAACTTAAACACAGATGTCTCACAGGCCCGGGGGGCTTAAACAGAGACAGGTATTTTCTCCCAGCCCTGGAGGCTGGAAGCCCAGGGTCAGGGTGCCGGCAGGGGTGGCTTCTGAGGCCTGTCTCTTGGCGTGGAGATCTGTCTTCTCCCTGCGTCCTCACCTGCTCTGTCCTTCGTGTGTGTCTGTGTCCTAACCTCCCCTTACATGGGTCCTTTTGGCTCAGGGACCATCCTAGTGACCACATTTTAACCTCATCACCTCTTTAAAGGCCCTGTCTCCACTTGCAGTTACTTCTTGAGGCCCCAGGGTTGGGGTTTCAAGGCCCCAAGAGGAGACGTGATGGCGTGAGGTCTAGTAAGGGCCCAGCCAGCATCGCACCCCAGGCCTCATGCTCTTGTCTGGGCCCAGCAGTGGTAGAGCAGGGCCCTGGTGTGTGGGCAGGGTTGGGATGGCAGTGGGGCTGCCCGGCACCCTCAGCGGTTTGCCCTGCCCCTCCCAGGTGCGGAAGGCCACAAGACACTTCGAGTCCTCTACGAGGAAGTCGATGAGTCGGAGGTCGAAGTCATTCATGTGCCCTCTCCTGCACTGGAAGAAAGGAAGACGGACTCCTACAGATACCCCAGGACAGGTGAGGGCCTGGAACGGGAGAGGGCCCGGGGTGGCTGAGGGCATCTGGGCAATGGTCAGACCCAAGTTTGCCTGTTTCTTAAGAGAAGCCAAGAATCCGGTGTCACCTGAGAATCTCCCAATTCTTAAAACGTCCCTCAGATTATTTAAAAACACTTAGTAAGCTACGCAAAATATACCCGCAGGCCAGATTCAGTCTGTCTATGGTCTCCATGGAAGCATACAAAATAATCATTCTTACTAACCATCAGTGAGCACCTACTATGTGCCGTGTGAGGTCGGGCCTCCTGACGGTTCCTCTAGTTCCTGGCTTAGGTGGAAAGACTCAGACAAACCGAGGCTCAGAGACGGCTCTGCCTGGGTGCCAGTGAGGGCCAGAGTTGAGATTGTGATTGAACTATGAGCCTGACCCATACCCCACCTCTGCAAGCAGGCCTGGGTTGTCCCAGCCGAATAACCTATGCCTCCCAACAGCCCAGGACCCGGCTGTGTCTCTGGGGCCCGTGCCACCTTTCTGTGTCATTAGTGGTTTTATTGTGGGTGCCTTCGCAGCTAGCTCTCAAGCTCTCCAAAGGCAGAGAGGTGTCTTTGTCGAGTTTGTGTCACCCCCCTAATCCTCAGCTAGCACAGGGTCTGGCCTCTGTTCTTAAATCATGAAGCTTGTCACATCACTGTCGGGAACAAGGTCTAGGCCCAAAGTCAGAAGTCCTGCCTGGGGGACTTTGTGCCTAAACCAGAAAGGGTGGGAACCCACAGGGAGACCTTTGGACACCCGGCTCCTTCCTCCCTGTACCACCCTTCATCTGTGTCACCTTTCTGAAGGCGCCGCCCTGCAGCCTCTGCCCTGACACCCGCCAGGCTCACCTTGCTTTCTCTGCAGGCAGCAAGAATCCCAAGATCACCTTGAAACTGGCCGAGTTCCAGACCGACAGTCAAGGCAAGGTAAGAGGGGCCAGGGCCCTCGGGAAAAGCTTCTTCACGAGGAGTTGGGGGACCAGGCTGTGTGTTGAGAGACTGGTAGACAGTGGGCTGGCATCAGCAGGGCCCCAAGGTGGGCACCGGTCACACTGATCGGAGCAGGCAGCTGGAGGATACAGGCTGGGGCAGCTCATGTGTGGGACGTGCCCAAGGCCCTGCCCGCCTCTCTCCCAGTGGTCCTCATGGGGGAAGCCAAGCCAGCCCTGTTTAGCCTCACACAAGCTTCAGCATCCAGAAGCTGGCTTGCCCATGGCCACCTGTCTCTGCAGTGACAACCTGACCAGAACCCTCAGTTCCTAGCCGGCTGGGTGTTGTAACAAAGCAGTGTAGACCAGAGAGGGGGGCTTCAACAACGGGCTTTATCGTCTCCCAGTTCAGGGGGCTGGAAGGCCAGTGTCAAGGTGTCAGCAGGGCTGGTTCCTTCCGAGGCTGTGAGGGAGCATTGTCCCGTGCCCTCCCTTGGCTTGCAGATGGCCACCACCTTCCGTGTCTGTCACAAGACATTCTCTGCCTGGGTGCGCCTGTGTCCACATTTCCCCTATCACAGGGACACCAGTCCTGTTGGATTGGGGCCACCAAAGTATGATCTCGTCTTAACTGATTACATCTGCCACTACCCTGTGTCCAAAGAAGGCCCTGCTCTGAGGTTCCAGGAGTTAAGACTCCAGGGTGCAGATTTGGGGGGCACGGCGTCCCTCTCCCGGTGGCCGGCTCCTCCCGGCAGCATGTGGTCAGGCTGCAGTGTGACTGGGTCCGTGGTCTCTTCTCTCTAGATCGTCTCGACCCAAGAGAAGGAGCTGGTACAGCCCTTCGGTGTGCTCTTCCCGAAGGTGGAATACCTCGCCAGGGCCGGGTGGACCCGGGACGGCAGATAGTGAGTGTCCCCATCGCAGTTGGGGGGCGGGGGGCGAGGGGGAGCATTCCTCTTCACCTTTCAGCCCTCTGCCCATGCCAAGGACAAGCACGCCTGAACCAGAGCCCCCACACCGCCGCCCATGGGCTGAACAATACTTGATCACATGTGGAAACGATACAAAGTCCACATTGGATGTCCATAACTAAAACTTTATTGGCACACGGCCACACTCATTCATTTACTGACTGCCTGCAGCTGCTTTCGCACTGTTGGCAGGGTTGACCAGTTGCCAAAGAGACTCTGTGACCCACAAACCTGAACGATTTACTTCCCAGCCCCTTTGTAGGAAAATGTGCTTCCGCCCCCCTCCCAAACGCTGCCAGGTCCCTGTCCTAACTGGCAACCTGGACAGAGGCTGAGGGCCTTTGGCGGGCCGTGGCCTCTCGCCAGACTCTCACATCCCTGCGATGCTATTCTGATTTGGTGGTTCTCTGTGGATATTCCATTTTGCCGCTCGTACTGACAGGTCACCATTTAAATACATTCAGGTTTTCAAAAAATTGCCTATTTGTGGCAAAATATGAGGTATAGCATGGTATATGTGGGCTGAGGATTTGGCAGAAGTTGTAAACGTTTGCCAAGTGCCGCTCTAAGACTTAATGGCATGAGAGGTTTCCAGAACAGTTACAGTGTTCTGTCATCTTTCCGTGTCCCCCGGAGTGCATGTCCCAGCCAGGAAACCTTTGTGGGCTGCAGGGTTACTTGGTCAAGTGTTGGCAAAATGGGCACAGTTCTGATTTACACACCACTTTGAAGGGGGGCTCACGCGTCACCCGGCTTCCCTCTCGTCCTGCCGCTCAGTGCCTGGGCCATGTTCCTGGACCGGCCCCAGCAGCGGCTCCAGCTCATCCTCCTCCCGCCGGCCCTGTTCATCCCCATCACTGAGCGCGAGGAGCAGCGGATGGCCTTTGCCAGAGCGGTGCCCAGGAATGTCCAGCCGCACGTGGTGTACGAGGAGGTCACCGACGTGTGGATCAATGTAAGGGCAGGCGGGGGGGGGCGGCTGCGTCCCACCTGGGCCGCCGGGCCAGCGTCGGGCGCGAGAGTCCGCGAGAGGCTGCATGTGCCTCCCCATCAGCCCAGCCGTCCGCCAGGGCCTCACCTTCCTCGGGGGGGCGAGGCCACCTTCTCACGGCCTCTCCTCTCCTGCCTGGACAGGTCCATGACATCTTCTACCCCTTCCCCCAGTCAGAGGGGGAGGACGAGCTATGCTTCCTCCGAGCCAACGAGTGCAGGACCGGCTTCTGCCACTTGTACAAGGTCACCGCTGTTTTAAAGGCCCACGGCTATGACTGGAGCGAGCCCTTCACTCCCCAGGAAGGTGAGCGGAGCCTGACTCACCACCAACCATTGCTCACCCGTCAGCTGTCTAGTTCCATGCGCCGTTTGTCCACTGATCCTGCCTGTGACCCAGCCGCCCCACCTGGGAGGGGTGGCAGAGCAGGAAGCCAGGCTTTCCACACATCATTCCCCGTCCAGCAGGGGTTATTGTAGCCAGCTGTTCGTTCACTCAGCCACCAGTGTTTATTGAGTACCTACTAGGTGCCAGGTCCTCCTCACACCAAGCCTTGGCAAACTATAGCCACAGGTCAAATCCAGCCCCCCTGTCTGTTTTTCTACATCAACTTTTATTGGCGCACAGTCATGCCCATTCGTCTGTGGGTTGCCTGCAGCTGTTTTCATGCCATGGCCAGCAGAGCTGAGTAGCATGGCAGAAACTGTATGTCTCACGAAGACAAAAATATTTGCTCTCTGGCCCTTTATAGGAAAGGTTGCCAACGCCAGCTCTGGATGCCAGGAGTATGATTGTAAAATGAGAACAGGAAGAATGCCTGGTCTTGTGGAATGCCAGTGGAGGAGGTGGGCAGGAAAACAAAACCAGAGATGCTGTCTTGGGGCAGATGAGCATAGCGGAGGAAATGCTGCAAGGCAGTGGAGAGAGGGGCCATCTTTGTAGAATGGGAGGTCAGGCGGACGTCTCTGGGTCATGTGCATGGAGCAGAGACCTGGAGGAGGCGGCAGAGGCAGCCACACAGCACTCCAGGCCAGGGGGCAGCCCATGCAGAGGCCCTGGGGCAGGACTGGGCCTGAGTTTTTGGCGGGACAGCTAGGGGCCCGTGCGACTGCAGCAGAGCAAGTAAGGGGTACAGGGGATGGCACCTGGCAGGTTGTGCAGAACCTGTGGGCTCTGGAGAGGTCTCGAGCTTTTCCCATTGATCTGAGCTTAGTTTAAAAGGATTCCCCAGGTCGCTGCACAGAGCACAGCCTTAGGTGAAGGAGAGGTGACAAGGACGAGTCACAGCAGCTGGCTGGGCTGACCCAGGTGGGTCAGATCCTGGGTGGAGCGGGGGTGAGTACGGTGTGCTGGCAGGTTGGCTGCCGAATCTGAAAGAGGAAAGGCCGGGACACCTGGAAGCTTTTGGAGGTCTGGTCTGAGCAGCAGACTCCGAGAGGGACAGTTTCAAGGAGGGGAAAACCCAGGGTTTGGGCTCGAACATGTTCAGGTGGAAGCGGCCCGCTAGTGGAAATGCCGCTTGGGTAGGTTTGCATGCCCGGAGTTCCAGGCAGCAGAGTAGATTCACGATGGGCTCATGGGCATCCTCACCAGATGGCGTCTCGGCAGAGGACCAAGCGCCAAGGGGCTGAGCCTGGGGAGGGAAGCTGTGCAGTCTAGGAGCCATGCCAGGGCTCTTTAAGCTTGGAACAGTGTCTGTCCCTCTTGGCACAGGTGCCATTAGGGTTGAGTTATTCTCTGAGGTGGGGCCATCCTGGGCACTCTGGGGTGCTGAACAGCATCTCTGGCCCCCACCCCGCAGTGCCAGAGGCACCCCAGTTGTGACAACCACAGATGTTCCCTGACATGGCCCAGTGCTTCCCCACAGTTTGAGACAAAGCCCACTAACAGGCCTGAGGCAGCCGCCAGCACAGACCAGAGACCCTGAGAGGGTGGAGTCCGGGGCCCCTGGGTGTCAGGACCAGGCGAAGCCCATGCGATGAGGGGTCGAGGAAGACGGGGGCCTCGGAGCAGCTGCTGTCACCGGCGCTTCGCAGGGCCGTCTCAGGCTGGCCGAGCCATCTCCACGGTGTTCTTGGCCCACTGGCGTCTCGCTGTCTGTGTGTCTGTTGACTTCGCCGCTGCTACCTAATATTGTGAGGTTTCATTGAGAAATCCTCTCTGCTGCTTCTTGAGATGGAATGGCCGAGCTACCTTTGGCCTGCTGGTTGCTGGGCAGGACTTGCATCAGGTACCTGTCAGGGGCCTCCTGCCTTTGAGGTGGGCGCGCGTGGTTTCCCATCTGCCCTGCGTGGGCCCCACCTCACACTTCCTGTCCTCGGCTCACACCGGCGGGAGAGCCATCCAGCAGCCGAGATGCCAAGGCCCTGTCACTCAGGTCAGAAGGAATGAGTTCCTCAAAGGCAGCCTTGGGGTGTCCCGGTGAGGTGGGAGGGAGGCTGGGGCCTGGAGCCACTGGCAGGCGAGCATGTTCGGGGGACACAGTGGCCTTCACAGCTGAGGGTCCTGCAAGAGAGACTGGGCAGGTGCGGTTTGGGGGCCCTCTGGGCCCTGAGAAGCATGGCTTGAATCCAGAAGTCCAATGAGACTTGGAAGCAAGAGTGAATGGGACTGAGGTCCCTCACCAGGGCTGACCCTTGGCTGGGCCTGGGGGGCCTCACAGGGAGCAGGGCAGGGCTGGCCTGGGACACAGGCGTAGGCCAACCAATGGCAAGTGGTGGGGGCCATCCCAAGACGGGGGCAGTGTGCAGTTCACCCCCACCCTCCGCCTCCTTAGGCCCGACAGAGAAAGGGCATCATAGAGATTTGAGTGAGCAGAAAATCGGTTGTGTCCAGCCTCTGTGAGTGAGGGACACAGGGGAGCATCCCTCCCTCCCAGGTCTTATTGTGGCAAACCGCTCGGCCCAAATCTCTGCTCTGGGAGTTGTGGCCTACCCACCCTCTGTCTGCGTACGGGACATCTGTCTCTCTGTAGATATAAGTTCTCAATAGTTTGCTCTCGACCCAAAAGAACATGAAAGAAACTCGAGCCATCGGTCATAATCCACCTTAAATTTCAAATGTGTACCCGGTAAAAATTCAAAAGCGAGATCCACCCAAAAAACCCCACCGCCGTAAAAACTCAGCTGAGCCATTGCTCAGCTCAAGGGTTCTGACCCAGATCTGGTTCTCCGGCATCCCAGCGGGTCCCGAGAGATCCCCGGTCCAGGGCCTGGGGACTACACAGCGTTCTAAAACCGAGAGCTTCTGACGGAAATGAAGATTGTTGGATCTTCTTAGGAACGTCCACGTGCTGGGGACCCTGCACGTGGCCCCTTTGTCCAGTGTTGCCAAGCCTGCCCACCACCACAGCAGCCAGGGCCCCCCCCTTCACAGCTTTCCCTTTTCTTACTTGCAGGTGAATTTAAGTGTCCCATCAAGGAGGAGATCGCCCTGACAAGCGGGGAATGGGAGGTCCTGGCCAGGCATGGCTCCAAGGTACCAGAAGCTCCTCGCAGCCCTGCCCGCCAGCCCCGCAGCACACTCTATGTTCAGATGCAACGCATGCATGCACGCCACCCGCCCTGTGTGCTCCCGGGACCCCCTCCCTCCTGCCGTGCTGCGCTCAGCCCCCTCCGGGGCTCTGGCACACTCAGGGGCACAAGGGCCTTGGTTTGACCAACTGGAGACACCGGGGTCACTAAGCAGGGGCTGTTCTGTGGCCCCGTCGATTGGATCCTGGTGGGAGGGCCATGGTCTGCTCTCAGCACCCCTTGGTCTTTTAGTTACCCTCCTTCTGGTCTATGAGACCCCCTCTCCCCGGAGAGCAGTTTGAGGGACACTTCTGCCTACTGTGGAATTGTCCCCAGGCTTCTGACCAGGGCCCACCCAACGCCTGCCCCAGGAGGTTCAAGAGCAAAGGCCACAGCCTCAGACACAAGAGGCATGCCTTCTACTCGTCCCCACACAAACCGTTGTAAAACGTGGCAAGACTTTGCCTGACCATAGTGGCTTCGCCGGGGTCCAATTCTGCAAATTCTTCTAACCCTCCTGCATCCCTACCTCACACAAGCATAAGTGTCTCGCGGACCACAGACAGGCGTTAGAGGCATTAGCACCTGCATGCTTACCGCACCTGCGTGCACTCCTCCTGCCATGGGACATCATGAGTGACACACCCTGAGTGAGTGAGTGAGCAGTGGGGACACTGGGTCAGGGTTCCGTAGGTAATGGCACTGATTACAGTGTAACCACACCTGATGGAACTCCCTGCCCCTGCCCTGGAAAGATGTCACTACAGATTGTTGGGAAAGAATCAAGTTGCAAGACAACGTATCCTGGTCCCAATTCTGTCTGGTTTCACACTCAGCTCTTTGTGCTGAGGTGAGGAGGTCGGAGGTCAGGCACCAGAAGGTTAAAGAGCAGTTGCCTGCTCATTCGCCCCGCTGTGCTTGAGTCTTCTGGAGGTACCCTCTACCCCCCACCGGAGCTCCCAGCCAAGCTCTGGCCCCCACCAACCTGGATGCTAACACTCAAGTTTCCCCGTCTGTAAAATGGGACCATCTGATAGCTCTGATCCCCTAATCTTTACACCAGAGCTGATCCCCGTCAGCACAGCTGACATTCAGACCTGGCTCATTTTCTGGGGGGGCCATTCTGGGCCCAGGGGAGCCTTGAGCAGCCTCCCTGGCCCCTACCCCTTAATGCCAGAAGCACCCATTAGTGTGACAACCACAGATGTCCCCTGACAGGCAGGGCCACCCCAGGGCAAGGACTCTGCCTTAAAGTAACTTGAAACCCTCAGCGTGACGTCTGACACACACACAAGCCCGAGTTACTGCCTCTCCATCTCTGTGAATGTTTCAGCATCTGAACCATCTCATCTTTTTACCCAGAAGCTAAAAAAAAAAAAAGCAACCATAGCATTTTAAACATTAAAAAAGGAGAAAGAGTGGCTTATAACAGGAGGCCATGTGCCCCTCTGCCTTCCAGCTGGTCTGCGCTGGCAGAGGGGGCTGCCCTGCCCTGCCCGGCCTGTCTGGGGGCCTCCGGGGGTCACTTCCTTTCCTGCCGGTCCTCGTGACAAAACTGGCCCCAAAACTCCATGTGGTTGGGGTTTTCCAAGGACATCCTCTATTTCTAGGAAACCCCCGTTTATTTTAAATGTGAGGAAGTGACGAACCACATCAGCGTTTGTTGTACAAACTGATTTGGTCTAGAAAAGACTAAATTCGAAATCCCTCTGATCGTCACCCCCCCAGCCCCTGCAGCCTCACCTCCTCCTCAGAGGAGACGCCTGGCGGGAAGTCACCATAGATCTTTCCTGTTTGCACACATCTCCACAGGACATACAGAGCATCATTGTTTGAGGGGGTGATTTGTACGGTTTGTTTGTTTTTTTAAAGAAAATATATTTTTTTGTGGCTGCAAAAATTCTGCCATTATGATAGAACCCATCTGTCTGTCTGGGAGTTCAAATTGTTCCCTGTTTTCTTAAGAATACTCTGAGCATCTTTGTCCCTCCATTCTGGGTTTGGCTCTTGGGCAGAGTCCTCAGGAACAGTTCCCAGGGTGTAACTGCCGGTCAGAGGACGCGCCCTTTTTAAGCACTTGGCCCAGGGTGGCCCCGGGAAGGCAGCGGCCATTCCCCAGGGTCTGGCTCTTTCCTGCTCCTCCTGAGGGCACCCTCAGCACAGTCTGCTGGGGGTTCACCTGGGAAACAGGCGGTACAGGGAGTTGGCACGTCTTCACCCCAAGCCCCTGGGTCAGAGCAGTGGGCTACCCCACCAGGGACCAGGGCAGGGGTGGGTGGGCCCTGGACCCAGGACGGCCTGCCCCTCAACCTCCGGCCTGCGCCCTGCCCCTGCTCTGCGCACACCCCGAAGGAGCTGTCCAGGGTCAGCATTCTGATTCCATGTCCTGCCAGAGGACCTGGGATTCCCCAGCTAGGTTGGGGGCTGGTCCTGCCACCCCAGGTCCAAGAAACATCTCTCTCCCAGAGGGTGCTTCTCCAGCCAATGGACTAAGAAAGGGAACGAGCCCCCTGTACCCCGAACTCTGGACCCTCCCCATGGGGGTAGGAGGAGGGGCCTGGTCCCTCTGCTGGGTGTCAGCACCCCCTACCAGCCTCCATGGAAAGGGAGGCTCGGGAAGCCCTGGGCTGCGTCACAAGGAGCCCCTGTGCCCCTGCAGATCTGGGTCAACGAGGAGACGAAGCTCGTGTACTTCCAGGGCACCAAGGACACGCCCCTGGAGCACCACCTCTATGTGGCCAGCTACGAGTCGGTGGGCGAGATTGTGCGCCTTACCACCCCCGGCTTCTCCCACAGCTGCTCCATGAGCCAGGTGGGCACTTCCCTGTGCACCCGATGGCACCATCCCTGCACCTACCCTTAGCCTCTCAGAACATTGTAGAATGTCAGGCAGCGGCCATGCACAGGGCTACTCCCAGTTCAGGGCAAGCATTTGGTAGCAATCTGCTGCCTGTGGAACCAGCAAGTTGAGCAGGCTCTGGCATCGGAAGGATCTGTTCTGACCAGGCCTGTCAGTTACCACCTGGGGGTCCCTGGCCAGGGCAGATTACCCTCAGCCTTGGTTTGCTTATCTGCACAAAGGGGGTGATGGGAACAGCACCCACCTCACGTGGGTAGACGAGTTCTGGAGTTTAAACAGTGAGCCCACAGCATAAAGGCAGCAAGTGGTGGGTGAGGGTGGGCAGGGAGGCACTGCAGCATCGCTCAGCACCCTGTCCCCCCCCCCAGAACTTCGACATGTTCATCAGCCACTACAGCAGCGTGGGCACGCCGCCCTGCGTGCACGTCTACAAGCTGAGTGGCCCCGACGACGACCCTCTGCACAAGCAGCCCCACTTCTGGGCCAGCATGATGGAGGCAGCCAGTGAGTAGCCCCACATCCCCTGGGGCCCTGGCCAAGTCCCTTCTTGCTGGGCGCCTCACTTTGCCTGATGGTAAAATGAAGTGTTAAGTAACACCAGTGAGAGGGGCCATCCTGGTGGGTGCAAGGCCACACAACCCAAGAGTGCATCCTTGAGCCATGACCACTGGCCCCGCTGTCCTATGTGCCCTGCCAGCCGGGACGGCCTGATTCCTGCAGGGCAGTTAAGGGCTGCACACCCCAGAGCAGAGACTCACACTCAGCTCTTTGTGCTGAGGCGAGGAGGTCGGAGGTCAGGCACCAGAAGGTTAAAGAGCAGTTGCCTGCTCATTTGCCCCGCTGTGCTTGAGTCTTGCTGGAGGTACCCCCTACCCCCCACCGGAGCTCCTAGCCAAGCTCTGCCCCCCACCAACCTGGATGCTAACACTCAAGTTTCCCCGTCTGTAAAATGGGACCATCTGATAGCTCTGATCCCCTAATCTTTACACCAGAGCTGATCCCCGTCAGCACATCACAGGAGCCGAGTCCGCCAGACATGGGGTCCCTGTGTGGGGCAACCACATGCGCAGGGGCAGCCGTCCAAGGGCGCCTGCACAGAGCAGATATTTTGAAGCCTTTGTGGCAGGAGCCAGGGTTGGCCATGAGGGGGGCCTCAGGGAACAGGAGGCAGCTGGTCAGTTTGCCCAGGACCCTGGAGGGTGGCCAGGACTCTGCTCTGGTGGCCCCAGGTTCCAATTCTGGCTGCAGAACTATAGGCCACTGTTTTCCTGAAACTCTTCATCTACGCAATGGTACAGTGGCGGTGCGTAAGAAGAAAGCCAGATGTTCACACAGGGCCTGGCACACGAGAGTCACTCACTGCCGTAGACGCCCTTCCCCAGTCCCAGATCTGCCACGCGCGAGATGCCCAGGGCATTCTAGGAAGTAAGAATCCCTTGGGTTTGTCAGGTGTCCTTTGGGCTAGAAAGCATCTTGTTAGATTGTCGCCCTCTCTGGAATCTAAGTAGATGATTCCACCCGACAGCTCAGTCTGTGACTCTCCACACGTTACCACATGGGGCAGGACAGAGCAGGAACTCTGGCCCTGGCTTTACAGGGGAGGAAACTGGGAAAGAGTGGATCCTGCCAGGCCCCAGGCACCGCAAGGGGATGCAGCCATGGGAACTCGATTGTCCTGACACTCAGCCCAGGGCTGTGGGCAGGTGGACTAGGGCACCACCGCCCCGAACTCCCATCTTGCCATGCTTGTAGACTTCATTTATGTGCTGTGTGTGGGCACATTAGGACCACACAGCTAAGCCATGTAGCTATGAAACAAATCACCAATGTCTCTTCAGCCCGTAAAGCCAAAAATACTCTCTGGCCCTTTACTGAAAGCATTTGCCGACCCCCAACCTACATGACTACGTGTAGGTTGCTTTCCTTCTCAATCAGCTTACCCTATTCACCTAAATAAACCTGTCTTAAAGAAAGACTTCGCCCCACTATCATGATTAGAAAACCAGTGCCGATTTGCACAAGTAAAGGCATGAAAATCAGAAGCAGACCATAAAATTGGCTGTTAATCACAACCCAGACACCCTGTCGCTTCCACAGATGAGCTCCAGCAAGTGTCAGGGGCCTGCCGGACACAGTTCCGGACAGACCAGGGCCAGGCTGCCCCGCTCACAGGCTCCAGAGTCACAGCCAGCCCTTGGATTCTGGTTTAAACCACGGGGAGCACAGAGGACGGGGTGCCTTCTGTCCACGCTCTGCGGCTCAGGACCAGGCAGTAGGGTGTGGGTATTGGCCGGGAGTGGGCCCCGCTTGGAGCCATATGCACTCCGGCCCAAGCAGTCACTCCACTCTGTCTCTGCAGGCTGCCCCCCTGATTATGTGCCCCCGGAAATCTTCCACTTCCATACACGGTCAGATGTGCAGCTCTATGGCATGATCTACAAGCCTCACGCAGTGCAACCTGGGAAAAAGCATCCCACTGTCCTCTTTGTGTATGGAGGCCCCCAGGTGGGTACCAGCCCTGCTCCCCACAGCCTTCCCTCCATGCCAGTCCTTGCGCACCAGCCAGGCCAGGAGAAGAGTCAGTGCAAGAGGGCCCCCTGGCCACCTCCCAGTGCCCACCCCATCCCCACTGACCCCACAGGCTCCTTGGGAGCCCTACTCCACTGCTAAATCTCTGCACACCCTGCCCTTCCGTATGGCCTACCTCCCCTTCCACCAAGGATGCTCCCTTATCCCTCTGGGAAGCTCCTCTTGACCCCCGTGTGTGCTTCTGGGTTCCCTGTCCAGCAGTGATCCGCTTTCACCCCTGGTCACCAGCTTAGGAACAGCGGTAGCCATGAGCCCTGGGCCCAGCGCTGTGAAAAGGGGACAGGACAGGGCCAAGCAGGCCGACTGGCAGGGGGTCTGTCCAAGAGAGCAATTCTTGCCTGGGGGTGTTCTGTCCCCCAGGTCACACTCAGCCATATCTGGGGACATTTGTAGTTGTCATAACGGGTGAGGGATGCTCCCAGCATCCAGTGGGTGTGTACCAGGGATGCTGTCAACACCCCAACAGTGCCTGGGACTGCGCCTTACAGAAAGATGAGGCCCTGAAGACCAGTAGTGCCAAAGCAAGGACCTGGTGTACGTGAGGTTACTCAGAGGCCGTGGCTGCCCACACCAACCTGCCTTCCTCCCCCACTGGCTTCTGAGTGCCGTTCAGGGATAACTGGCAGGTGGAGTCGAGGCAGGACGTGGCTGCAGACATCAGGGAGTCACTCCAGGAAGGGCCTGGAGCAAAGGCCCCCGCTGCGAAGGGGACCTGCTTGGGGCCCTGTTCTCTAGCACACCCCAAGCCCAAGGCCAGGTGCCGAGAGGGCCCCCCACCTGACCTTTCACCCCTCCACATCCAGAACCCTTACGGGGCCATCCATACATAGCCTTCCAACAAAGCACAGGCACCCTGAGTAGGCTACAAGTCCCCTGCCTTGTCACATGGCATCGGCCTGTCTAGCCCAGCCCGGCCGGCCTCTCGCGCTGGGTGTCACACCACACCCAGAGTACCATGTTCTCGCCTCGCCGTCCCCTACAGGTGCAGCTGGTGAATAACTCCTTCAAAGGAATCAAGTATTTGCGGCTTAACACGTTGGCGTCCCTGGGCTACGCTGTGGTCGTGATTGATGGCAGGGGCTCATGTCAGCGGGGGCTTCAGTTCGAAGGGGCCCTAAAAAACCAAATGGTAACATCTCTCCCCAGTTCCTCTGGTCCTTTCCAGTGCGGTGAAGGGAGACCTGGGGTTTGGGGTGGCCCTGAGCCACCTCCCTCAAGGGCAGTCCTGGCCAGGATGCCAGAGGCACAAGTCGGGGAGCCTTTTGGAACAAGGGGCATGTCCACTTTGCTGCTCAGCTCTGAGCTACACCTCATGGGGAGACAGGTATACAGACATCCCGCCTCGTGCTGAGACCCAGATGCACCCAGATATATCTGTAAGGCCTGACCAGCAGGAAGTCCCAACAGCTGGGCCACAAGGACTGGTGGCTGTAAAAATGGTGCAGTGATGGTGGTGGTGGTGATGGTGATTGTAGTGGTGGTGACAGTGGTGATGGTGACGGTGGTAGTGGTGATTGTAGTGGTGGTGATGGTAGTGGTGGTGGTGTGGTGGTGATGGTGGTGGTGTGGTGGTGACGGTGGTGGTGGTGATGGTGATGGTGACGGTGGTGGTGTGGTGGTGACGGTGGTGGTGTGGTGATGGTGGTGGTGATGTGGTGGTGACGGTGGTGGTGGTGGTGGTGGTGATGACACTAGCTGTCCCTTTAAGCCTTAGCATGTGCCAGGCTTCTGAAGGCAGGACACGCACCATCTCGTGTCATCGTCACATCCACTATAAAGTGGATCCTATTCTTGTTAACATTCTCATTTGAGGGGTGGGAAAAGTGAGGGTCCAGAGACAGGACAGGACTTTCCCAGAGTCAGCGGGGGGCAGGGGAGGGCTGGTGGTGGGCCTGGCTGCCCACCCGCCACCCTAGAGAGCAGGTTTGAATGGGGCCTGCAGAGAGGAGTGGCTTCCAGAGAGCTGGGTGTGAGCCGGGCAGAAGGCTCCCCACCGGTGACAGGGGTGGGACAGCAGGGTGCACGCCTGGAAGAAGGCCACTGAGAGGTGCCCGGCCTCGTCCCTCAGGGCCAGGTGGAGATCGAGGACCAGGTGGAGGGCCTGCAGTTCGTGGCCGAGAAGTACGGCTTCGTGGACCTGAGCCGAGTCGCCATCCACGGGTGGTCCTACGGGGGCTTCCTCTCGCTCATGGGGCTGATCCACAAGCCTCACGTGTTCAAGGTGGGCCCCGCCCCCACCCCGCCCTCCTGTCTCCGGCGTCCGCCCATGCCCCTCGGAGCCCGCCCCCCGGGGAGGCGTCTCGGCAGGGGCCCTGCCACGTGGCTGTTTCTCCCCGCAGCCGCCCCACGGGGCCGAGCCCCCCTCCTCATTGCCCGCCACTGCTGACCCCAGGATGGCATCCTCCGGCTGCACAAAACCCCGCCGGCAGCTCTCTGTGGGAGGCTGAGCCTGGGACCCCGGCCTCGGATGGGCAGAGGTGGGGCATGGTGTGAAGAGCGTCGGGGGAGGGGCCCCCAGGCCGGCGGCAGTCAGGGCACCGCGGGGCGGCGATGAGGAGGAGGAGGCCGGAAGGCAGTGGGACCAGGGAGGGGCCGAGCCTGGCCTGAACGTGCTGTTCGGCCCACCTCCCCTCCCTTGACAGTGCACAGTCCCGGGGGCGCACGGTCTGAGGGCCCTCCCCTGCCAGCCCCCGTGCGTGCATGCCTGCTCCTCACGTCCTCGGGGGGGACCTGGGACAACCGGCCGAGTGTGGGCTCCGGGGCCCTGACCCGCGTGTGTCTCTCTCTTCCTCTCTCTGTCTCCACTGTGTCCACCGTGGCCTTCAGGTGGCCATCGCGGGTGCCCCAGTCACAGTCTGGATGGCCTATGACACAGGGTACACGGAGCGCTACATGGACATCCCAGAGAACAACCAGCTTGGCTACGAAGCGGGTTCTGCGGCTCTGCATGTGGAGAAGCTGCCCAACGAGTAAGGTCCCCCTGCCCTGGCCTTCTAAGTCGCCAAGGCCCCCGTGTTTCTGCTGCCACCCCTACTGGCTCTGCCACCGCCCTGTCCGGGATGCCCCCCACGGTCTTCCTGCGGCTTCAGGCTGGGCTCCCGGGTCTTCTGCACCTCCCTTCTCACCGCCCCTCACGCCACGGGTGCCGTCGGAGGCAGGGGGCCCCTGGCCCTGCCATGGGGCCCTCAGTCAGTCGACCCTGAGCGGCCTGTCTGTGGGATTTGACAGTGTGGTTCAGGACACGGGTCCGTACGGTTGTACCCTCAGGGCCTTTAACTCAGATGTCCCCTGTCACCCTTTTGGCATTTGCTTCTTTCTCTGATTAAAAAAAAGGAGTGTTTCCGCTGTCTGGTGTGGCGCCCGCCAGAGGCCCTGCTGCTGGTGCTGGGTTCTTGTCGCAGGCTGTCCCCACCTGGGCCCCTCCCCACGAGGCTGCTCTCTTTGCTCCGGGGTTGGTCTGGGCTCCCCAGGGATGCCAGCATGCAGCCGAGCTCCGAACCCCCCGGTCTGGTCCTGTGCCACCTGATACTCAGCCCACATCCTCTCTCGGCCACTGAAATTTAAGTCTATATCACACTCACCAGAATAATAAATCCGTCGAGGTAGACACAGGTGGGTGGTTGCTAGGGGAGGGGGAGTAACTGCCAGCAGACAGGTTTGCTTTGGACTGATGGGAATGTTCTGGAAGCAGATGGGGGTGATGGTTCCACAACACTGTGAATGCCCCAGATGCCCCTGAATTGTTTATTTAAAAAGGAGTTCGTTTTAGGTTATGTGAATTTCACCTGGATTTTGTTTTTAGAGAATCAAATTTTTTAAAAATATGGTTCCTCACCCACACTGGCCACATTTCAATGGCTCAGGAGCCACATGTGATGGTGGTGGTAGTGGCGGAACCTCACTGGGCAAGGGCAGGTCTAGAACATTCCGTCATCCCTGAGTGCCAGGGCGGCACTGCTCTAGAAGCTTTCCTGTAGCTCAGGGCGTTCCATTCACAACTGCACACACCCCCCTCTCTGCCCCTTGCCTGGAAGGACGCGCCAGGCATGCCCCTCTTTTGCTTCCGTCAGCCTCTGGTGCTGATCTGCTGCTTCCGCCGTCCCTGGGGTGGGGGCGGGGCGGGGCGCAAGCCCTGGCTGACCCCCAGGGGCAGCAGAGGAGGGTCCCGCCTCAGACCAACCTTGTTTTCCAGGCCCAACCGCCTGCTCATCCTGCACGGCTTCCTGGATGAGAACGTGCACTTTTTCCACACAAACTTCCTCGTCTCCCAACTGATCCGAGCAGGAAAACCTTACCACCTCCAGGTGGGTGGCCCCTGGATGCTTTGGGCCTCTCCCCAGGAGCCAGCCGGGTGGGCAGCAGCGGGGTGTGGCAGAGTCACCGGCTACCAGGCTTGCCACCCGAGGCCAAGCCTCCCTGGGCCCTCTGTGGCTCACCCACCATTGCCGTCCTGCACGCCCACTTGGACCCCCTGTGCCCTTCTGGGTCCCTGCTGCCCTCGGTGCTGGGAACACCAGGGGACAGGGCCAGACCCGCCCCAGCAGAGGGAGGTCAGTGTCACTGAAATTGTATCTCACACACACGTTTTATTTTAAACCAATGAACTTGCCTTAGAGGCACCGTACAAGATGCTGAAAGCATCTAATAGGGGTGTTACCTTAAGGAGTGAGGTCAGAGAATTCTTTGAGGAGGTGAAATTTAAGGGTGCCATAGAATCAGGACAGGAGGGACCCTGTGGCAGACACGAGGCACGGGGAACATGCAGGAGGGAGTAGCCCCCGTACAGGCAAGCAGAGCGGCATGAGTCTGTGGGAGAGGAGGTGGGATCCGGGCACCCGGAAGGGCGAGACCCCAATGACGGGCGGGGCTTCCCCGTGAGGGGGTGGGTCTTAGACCAAGGGCGGAGCCTCGGCTGGGTTTTGTTGTCAGGGTGAAGGAGAGGTGTGTGGGCCTGTGAGCAGGACTGGCTGGCTGTGTGGCCTGAATCCCCCGACTGCCCCACAGACGGGGGCCAGTCAGCTGACCTTCCAGGAGACGGGTTGGCGGTGGGGAACTGGAGTCCTGGTGGGTTCAGGAGGTGATCTGAAGGTGAGAGGGATGGGTTTGATCACATGCCACTAGCTCACCGTCTTCGTGCCCCCCAGATGCCTCTGCGTGCTCAGTTCTGTAGGGAGTGCCAGTGAGGGTGGTGGGGCAGGAGAGACAGGCCTCGGGGTCTGCGGCTGGGCACAGTCAGGGCAGGAGGGAGGCAGTGTTCCCTGTGGAGGGAAGAGCTGCCTGTTGGCCAGAGGTAGCTGTGCCCTCCCCGTGTGGCCATCGGTGGCTGCAGGTGGCAGGTCCACTAACCTCAGGCCTCACTTCCTCATCTGTGAACTGGTCGTGATAACCCCTGCCTCTCAGCAAGGCCTTGAGCGCCTCTCAGGGAGAACAGGTGAATAGGTAGCACACAGGCGGGTGTGGGCATGTCCAAGGGAGGTGGAGTTCACCCCACCTTCTGTTTCAGGAGACCTGAGAGGCTAGGGGTCCCAGGTCCTCTTTGTTCATGTATCTCATTTGCCGTTGCATACCAGGCCCCGGCTGGAGCCAGCCAGCGCCTCCCCCTGCCCTCAGAGCCCAGGAGGAGGAAGTAACCAGACAGCCAGGACTCGGTGTAGCACGAAGGGGTGAGGGCAGCAGGGTCTTTTCCAGGTAGTGCTGCTAAGTAGGTAGGGAAGGAATGGAGCCCATGCTGTGACAGTGTGAGCAAACTTTTGATTCATCTAGGGATGGATTAATGGAGGCAGGGGTGGAGGAGGGGAGACCTCTGCACAGGTGGTTGCATTCTCAAGGCAGTGGTTGTGGGTTGGAGAGGAAGGAATAGTTTAGTTCAGAAACCCATCTCACTGGGAGGGAGGGAGGAGTGAGCCCCTGGGTGAGACTGGGGCTGGGTCCTTTGGAAGAGCCTGGAGCAGGTTTCCCACCTGTCCCACGAGCCCATCTGAGAATTGTCAGGGTGCGGGAGCCCTCACCTCATGACCAGAGGCGAGACCTGTGCAGTGTCGCCATCCATCCAAGGGCCAGGACGTCAGTCTCAGGAACTGGACTATTCCAACCAACGTGCGGCTGCCCCTCTCTGGAATGATCCCCCCTCTCATTTCTGGGTGAGAGGACCGAGAAAATTAGCAAAGCCTGGGGTGTGGCCATCCTGGGTGCCTTGGCGCATATAGCCCCAACATGGCCCTTGCTGAAATGAAAACAGTTGGGGTGACCAGCCCGGAAACATCCTTGAAATGTGAAGCCCCGCCCCCTCTGCCGAGATGGGTTCGTTGTATCTCCCAGGTTTGGGGACAGAGCAGCAGGTGCTTAAGCTTTTCAAGTGATGGCCGTAGTGTAGGAGGTTGTCATTTAACCAGTTACATGGCAGGTTGAGGCCCTGCGGGGAATCAGCACAGGTCAGCCAGTTCCCCAGTGCGAGGGGAGACGCGCTGAGCCCGAAGGTGGAGGGGCTTCAGAGGCAGGGGGGACCCCGGTGCCACCAGCCTGCCTTCTCTGTCCCCCCAGATCTACCCCAACGAGAGACACAGCATTCGCTGCCCGGAGTCCGGCGAGCACTATGAGGTCACCCTGCTGCACTTTCTCCAAGAGCACCTCTGAGCCCCGGGGCCCGGGGCCTGCACATTCAGAGCACAAGTGGCTTCGCTGCCACAGGGACCGGGCAGGAGTGGTCCGGAGGTCACTGCGCGGCGCCTCCTCCCAGCGCCTGCGCTGGACGGCCGGCCCCAGAAGCCCGCGCCTTTGCCCCTGACGCTTTTTTATCATTTTTTAAATGCTCCTGGGGGTTTTTTTGTCTGCTGCTCCCTGGTTGCCTGGACAAGAGGTGAGGCCGACAGCCACGAGGGCCTTCCTGAAGCCGCCCCCTCCCCGCGTGGCACGGGAGCAGGAGGCGTGCACGCCCATTGGTGGAGAGGCCAGCAGCGACTCGGAGGAGCCAGCCTGCGGCCCGTGGCCCCCACCGCGGCCTTGACCCTCCAGCCGGCAGAAGTAGGCCTTGCTTCCCCTCCCCTACCTGCCCGCTTCATATCTGCATTTTGTTTGGAGGGAGGGGTTTTCCACAATTATTTAAAAAACGCAAAGCAAGGGGTGCCTGAATCTAGAATCGGTCTGCCGCCTGGCCGTGGGGTGCACCCCAGGCGGCACTCGGTGAGCCCCGCTTCAACAGCAGGTCGCCTCTGCGGGTCAGCGCTGCCGCCCTCCCCAGCCCAGCCGGCGCGCAGACCCGGAACCCTCCAGGGTTCCAGGCTCGGGGTGGGCGCGGAACCCTCCCCGCCTCAGGGTTACCCTTAGCCTACCTTCCTTTCCCTCCTCCCTGCCTAGAGTTCTGCCCGGGGCGGGCAAAACAAACAAAAAACCCACCAGAAACGAACCACCTCTACATATTATGGAAAGAAAATATTTTTGTCGATTCTTATTCTTTTATAATTATGCGTGTAAGAAGTAGACTCATTAAACGATTCCAGACGGAAGCGTTGCCACCTGCCCGAGGTTCTTTCGGCGGGTGCTGGGGGCTCCCCGGAGTGGACGGGAGGGAGGCGGGTCCAGGAGGGGACAGCGTGGTCCTGGCCCTGAACCACGGCTGCCTTGGCACAAAAGTGGGAGGGGCGCATGCCTTGGCTGGAGGATGCCCCGCCCCCAGGCTTTCCCAGGGCAACAGCCCAACCCGAGGCACACGTCCTTCCGGCCGGGTGCTCCGCCCAGCCACCACTACATCCTTTTGCACCTGTGCTTGTCAGGCGGCTTGATTGTGCGGTTCGGGAATCAGGAAATGCAGACGACGCTGGGCGGGCCACACCCCAGTCCAGAGCCCTAGGGAGACTGGCGACTGACTGTGGCCGGGCACACAGCACGCATGGTACCTGAATTTCTAACAGCAGGATGGCTTCGTCCGGTGCAGCCACCCTCACCATCCTTTGGGAAGTCCCGCTTTAATATTTAACGGCTTAAAAAACAAAACAAACGAGTACGAAAGATATATATGTGAGGAAAGGCACCCTCGCTCTGGAGAGGTAACTCCTCCCCAGTCTGTATTTTTTTAATACTTGGATTCTATTCCCTCCCCTGGATGTGCTACAATTTATTTTGCTAAGCATCTTTTAAGGGATATCATAGGTTATTCTACGTTTTTTTTTTGTATAAATCAGAGGTCAGCAGACAATCTCCATAAAGGACGAGAGAGTAAATATTTTGGGCTTCTCAGGCCAGACAGTTACAGCTACTCAACTTTGCTCTTGCAGTTCAAAAGCAGCCACAGATGATAATATATCTGAGTGGGCATGACAGTGTGCCAATAAAACTTTATTTACAAAACCAGGCAGCTGGCCGGATGGGGCCCACAGGCTGTAATTGGTCCTCTCCTGGTATAAATGATACTACAACAAATAGCCTTGTCACATTGCGTCCCAAAGAGACTATGACAACATACACATTGCCAAAAGGGAAGAGGTGTGCCTGTCTCCCCATTCCTTCACCAGTCTACATGTTAACATGTTTTATCTTTTTTTTATTAAGGTGTCATTGATATACACTCTTATGAAGTTTTCACAAGAAAAACAATGTTGTTAATTACATTCATTCTTATTATCGAGTCCCCCCCATACCCCATTGCAGTCACCGTCCATCAGTGTAGTAAGATGCCACAGAGTCACTACTTGTCTTCTCTGTGCTACACTGTCTTCCCCATAATCCATCCCACACCATGTGTGCCAATCATAATACCCCTTAATCCCCTTCTCCCTCCCTCCCCACCCACTCTCCCCCATCCTTCCACTTTGGTAACCACTAGTCCCTTCGTGGAGTCTGTGAGTCTGCTGCTATTTTGTTCCTTCAATTTTGCTTTGTTGCTATACTCCACAAATGAGGGAAGTCATTGGTATTTGTCTTTTCTCTGCCTCACTTATTTCACTGAGCATAATGTCCTCCAGCTCCATCCATGTTGTTGCAAATGGTAGGATTTGTTTCTTTCTTATGGCTGAATAATATTCCATTGTGTATATGTACCACATCTTCTTTATCCATTCATCTACTGATGGACACTTAGGTTGCTTCTGTATCTTGGCTATTGTAAATAGTGCTGTGATAAACATAGGGGTGAAACTGAGAAGTTGTTTTCTTTGGGTAAATTCCTAGGAGTGGAATTCCCAGGTCATTATCAAACATTTTTATGTGCCAATCTTAGGGGTGAAACATGGTAAATCACTGTAACTTGAACTCACGTTTCTTTTATGTGGGAATATTTTCATGTTTAAGACAATTTTTTACTAGTAATCATTTGCCCCCCCTTTTCTTTGATCTGTTAGCCTCATTGATTTGAAGGCACTCATTATATATGAAGGAAATCAGCCCATTGTCATTATCTCTGGCAAATCAAACTATGTTGCTGATCTCAATGTTTATGGGTATGAACTTCAGCCAATGAATGTTTAAAATCAGTATTAGGAACAAGATGTCTTTCACATACCCCACTGTGATATAAAGTAGAAGAAGGAACTAGTCATAAGACAAAAACTGGTGGGAAAAGGGGCATTAGGGTTGCCCCAAGAGGTTGGCAACTGGAAAACCACAGTCATCTGAGAGCAGCAATTTGTCATCAGAATCTTCTACCCCTGCTTCACTCCGTTAAAAGTCAGATTGTCATGAGACATCAATCACTGGTGAAACGTTACTCGGTCACATTCCTGCCACAACGGTGAGGCCTAGAAGGAGAAGTGGGGTGTCAAAACGAAGCAGGGACAGATGATGGGCAGCTATAAAAGGACAGATGTCTGCTGGCAGAAGGTCTCAGTCTCTGAGGTGGCAGATTAAGAGGCGTTGGCTTCTTCCAGGTTGACACATGGGCTGCTTGTTTTCACCACCATGGGTTTGGGGTGGGTGGCCATCGGCTGGCAGCAGGGGGTCCCCGATTCTGTTTCAAGTTCCCTGTGCATATGCTTGATTTCCTTCCTGTTGAAAGAGCTCATCTCTTACCTAATTGCCAGAACCCATTCATGACAGACAGAAATCCTGTGTCTTATCTGGTGCCGATATTTTCCAGTTTGTCATTTGCCTTTTAAACACATTTATGGTACTTAAAAAAATAAAAAAAACTAACTATAGACACATAGGAAGTTGCAAAAATAGCACAGAGCCCCACTGAACCCTTCACCCCATTTCCATCTTACCTAACCAGAGTACACTGTCAAAACCAGGAAATTTAGGAATACAATGCAGTTAGTTAATAGACTAACCTTATTCAGATTTTATCAGCTTTTACACGTGTTCGTGTGTGTGTTTGTGTAGTTCTATTTTGCTTTATCATCTGTATAGATTTCTGTAACCACCACCACAATCAAAATACAGAACTATTTATTTACCACAGAGGATCTCCATGCAATCCCTTTATATCCATACCGACCCCATTTATGATGTCCTGACCATAGAGAGAAGTTCATGAAATTTGTGTCATCCGATCATTTCCTTTAGGACTTCCAGGTAGATTTCATGTCATGATTAAAAAACCAGAATCTTTGGAGTATTGTGGTTTTTTTTTTTCCTTTTAATCTCTCCAGTATGATTTTTTTTTCAAAAAGGAAAAAAAAAAAAGGAAAGCTTGGGGGCTCAATCTTTCTCAAAAGAAGACACACACTCCCCCTACAAACCTTGCCCTTTTCAGTAGGAGATTTGAAGAGTTCACCATTGAAATATCTTGTTAGCAATAGCACTCGGCCACTAATTGAATCCTTCACAGTGACAGGCTGAAGGTCAAACACGCAGCGAGGTAATGGGAGACAGGAGTGGAACCACGCTGTGTCAAACACCGAGGAAACAGGACCGCTCGCAGCCAGTTTGGGGAGCCAATTTCTAACGGATCCAGAGCAGGCAGTTGGAAAGAGGGAAAAACTTCTTGACACAAGCAGATATCCCAATTTAAGACAGGCTGTCCCAGCAGAAAGGCGTCAGTTCGGGAGTTAGGGTTTTCTGCAGAGCAATCAGCCTTCTCCTGGGTCCTCTGACCTCCCTGATACTGAACTTCACCCTCTGTATCTGAGGAGAATGATTTGAATTCCTCCACCGGTAAAATAGAGCCCAGGGTCAGGGTTACCTGGGACATGTCTCTGGATTCTGTGCTTGTAAGGAAGGCCTAGGAAAACAAGCTTTATTCTGGACACTCTAGGCCTCTAGTGTTTTCTTGAAATTTTAATAAAGCCATTTGTGACCAAAAAATTTTTTTTTTCTTCTCTAACTGAAAACCTGGGATTGCTTAATTGGCATCTGATGCTGGCAACAGCTAGTACAAGAGTCCGTTCTAGTACAAACTTTACCTGCATTCCCTCAATCCTGATAATCCCCTGAGGTTAGGATTATTTCCTTTAAAGTTTTTAAATTTGAGATAATTTTAGGCTTACAGAAAAACTGCAGGAATAGTACAGAATTCTCTAATCCCCTCATCCAGCTTCCCCTAAGGTTGACATCTGTAACTATGGTATGAGCCAGATTACTGAAGCCAAGAAATGAATGTCAGTACAGTCCTATTATCTGATATAGAGAGTTTACTTGAATTTCGCCATGTCTCCCTCTAAGGTAGTTTTCTCTGGACCAGGATTTTTATGGACTGACGAGACTGCTACAGACCAAAATCCATGTTGAATTTTTACTCCCAGTGTGACGGTACCGTGAGAGGTGGGGACCTTTGGGAAGGGATTAGGTACTGAGGGTGGGCCCCTCAGTGAATGGGATCAATGCCCTTATGAACAGAAAAAGAGGGAGTTCCGGAGGACACAGCGGGAAGACCAGGAGGCGGGCCCCCAGCAGATACCCAATAAGCCTGCCTCAGTCCTGAACTTCCAGCCTTAAGAAATGTGAGAAATAAAGGTGTTATTTATAAAGCTCCCAGTCTGTGGTATTCTTGTCCTAAGGGCCCCAACCAAAATAAGGTTCCAATCCTGAACGCCACATGTTTTGTTGTCTTCAGCTACTCATTCTGTAATGGCTACTCAGCCTTTCTGTTTCATGACATTTTTGAAGGGACCTGCTGGGTTATCTTGTGCAATGTCCCTCGGCTTGGGACCTGGCCTGACGTTCACTTACTAGATGGAGTCCTGCATGTCGGGCAGAAATTCCAGAGATGCTGCTGGGAGTCCCTTCTCAGGGGATCCCCCGGTGGCTCCAGTGCTTTTTATCATCATTGTTGGTGACGTTAACGTCGACCACAGGGCTGCCCATGGCGTCCCCACTGTGACACTACTGTTTTTCTCTGTAACTAAGAAGTATCTTGGGGGGAAATACTTTGAGGCTATGCACATATCCTGTTTCTCGTCATACTTTCCCCCACCAATTTTTAGAATCGTCCACGGATCTTGGCAACAATTACGTGGAACTGGACCCACTGTCACCTTCCATTTCTCTCATTTCTAGATTTATAAATTTGGACCTTAGTGGCGACCTTTTATTCCCCTACTACATTTACCAATTGGAAGAGCGGTAGGACGGGCCACATGGCCAGGAGTTGCGGGAGAACTGGCAGCAGGGCCACGCACGCCAGGTATTCACTAGCCCAAGCCCCGCCCCCACCACGGCGGTCCCGGAGGGAGGGCGGGGCGCGCCAGGTCACGTGGCCGCGCCGAGGCCGACGTGGCCTCCGGCGGACGCTCCACGTGTCCCTCGCCGCGTCCCGTCCGCCGACCCTGCCTCGCGGACCCGATCCCAAGATGGCGGCGCCCAGGGAAAGGAGGGACGGCGGCGGCAGCGCGAGCTTGTGGGCCGCGCTGCTCCTGACTGCCGTAGCGTTGAGGCCTGCGGAGGCGGTGTTCGAGCCCATGACGGTGGCATTTGACGTGCGGCCCGGCGGCGTCGTGCACTCGTTCTCTCAGAACGCGGGCCCGGGGGTATGTGCCGCGGCAGCTCCGGGGGACTGAACGACTTTGCCTGCGGAGGCGGAGCCTACAGAGGGGGCGCAGACCTTCATGGGCTGGGCTTGAGGGGGAGGGGCCCGAGGGGCGCGGCTCGGCTGGGGGCGGGGATTGGGCGGGGCTTGAGGGGTCGCGGGGCGGAGGGGCGGGGTCTAAGGAGCGGGCGCGGACCGTCGGGGACCGAGACTCTACGCGCGGTGTCGTCACTGACCCAGGCCTGAACTTGCAGGCTAGGAGCCTCGGCTTGCAGGGTTCTGGTGACTTTGAAGGGTCTCGGTCAGTAGCCTCAGTCCCTGACTCCTCACATGCCCCGCGTACTCAAGCAGCCCTAGCCCCAGACCCAGGCGAATCCCCCGCCAGTGGAGGGCGTAGTGGGCCCAGAGGTGGGGACAGGGGCACTGGAGGATGAGGGGTATTTCGCCTCCACCGCCCGCAGGTCAGTCCCACCGCAGTTCTGACTAGGGAAGAAGTGGACAGATGTTGCTCTTTCCTTCCATCTCCCAGGGCCCCCATCTTTTTCACAGAGATGTGCGACCAGGCCCTCCTGACCTGGAGGCAGCTGGCCTAAGTCTAGCCCAGTTGTGTCCCCAGCTTGCTGGAGACGGCGTCCTTTTCCCTTTCTGTAACAATTAACAGCAGCAGCCTCTATTTGTTGTACTGCCTTACAGCCAGGTATTGTGTCAAACGCATTCTGTTAGGTCCATTTTACAGATGAGGAGAGCAGGGTCAGGAAAGTTTACACTGTTCCAAGGCACACAGCAGAGCAGAGATGGGCCCCCAGGTGTCCTGCGTCCAGAGTCCATGTTCCCACACGGGTGGGTGCTAGAGGGTATGTGACTTCCCCCTTCCTGTTCTTCACTCCCCTGAAAGCCACATGGGTTGTTTGTCCTGACCCAGGAGCTCACTCATACGCAGAGTGGGGCTGGCCTCCAGGGACATAGCTAGAAATATCTGGCTCTGCTTCCGTCCCTTTAGGATAGACGCTCAAAAGCAAGATCTTGATCCGGATCTCAGAAGGACATCTTGAGAGCCTGTAGTTTCAGCACTAAGGATTACCTCCTAACAAGCCTCTTTTTCTTCCATTCTCTAGGACAAATATACTTGTGTGTTCACCTATGCTTCTCAAGGAGGGACCAATGAGGTGAGTTGTTGAAAATTCTACATAGTTTACTATGATACCTACTGTCATACAGAGGAGATGGGTCATATGTGCATCAACTGGCGCTTATTCAGCTATTCTTGCTTAACCAGTAAAAGACAGTGTTCAAGTTAAATAGTGGTGGCAGATTCCACTCATCGTTCTAGAGGAGGAGGGATGTGAGCCTGTATTAAAGATGTTGAACTCGTTGCCTGTGATAGGTAACAAATATTCACAAACTTAGCAGCTTAAAATGCCCATTTATCATCTCTCAGTTCTGGAGGTTCAAAGTCGTGGTCAGTTCCGCTGGATGCTTCATAACGCCAAACGCAAGGGGTCAGCCGGGCTGGGCTTTCATCTGCAAGTTCTGGGGCAGAGTCCTCCTCCAGGCTTATTCAAGCTGATGGAGAACTCGGTGTCTCGCCGCGTGACACTGAGGTTCCCGCTTCCTTGCTGGCTGTTTTCTCCAGCTGGTGGCAGAAGAGGGGGTAAGATTTTGAAGCATGAGAAGGATGTGGTGCAATAGTGCTGGCTTTGAGGGGACCACGTGGTGAGGTGTGCAGGTGGCCTGTAGGGGCCTGAGCGCAGCCCCTGGCTGGTGGCAGGAAAATGAATGCTTTCATCTTACAACCACAAGGAACTGAATTCTGCCGCAAACGTGCGAGGAAGAGGACCCTGAGCTCCAGATGGGAACACAGTCTCACTGATAACATTGAGTTTCACTTTCAAGACAGAGCGGAGGACCCAGCCGCGCCAAGCCCAGCCTGCTGACCTGCAGAACCGTTAGCTAACACATGGGCATTGCTTTGCAGCTGTTAAATTTGTGGTGATTTATTATGCAGGGTAGTAGGCTGAATGGGGCCCCCCCAAAAAGATACGTCCACATCTTGATTCCCAGAAACTGAATGTGACTTTATTTCGAAATGGAATCTTTGCAGATGTGATTAAGTTTAGGATTTTGAGATGAAGGGGTCATCGTGGATTAGCCAGGTGGGCCCTAAATCCAGTGACAAGTACCCTTATAAGAGACACTCAGGGGAGATTTGAGAGAAGACGCAAGTTGGAAGAGGCGGTGTGAAGATGGAGGCAGTGATGAGGCAGCAGCCGCACACCAGGGAGCTCCTGGGGCCACCAGAAGCTGGAGAGGCAGGAAAGATTCTCCCCTGAGCCACTGGACAGAGCCTGGCCCTGCTGACACCTAGATTTGGACTTCAGACCTGCAGGCCTAGGAGAGCATAAATCCCAATTGTCGTAAGCTACCAAATCTGTGGTAATTTGTTACGGCAGCCCCGAGACATGAACGCACACAGCAATAGAGTATTAAAGCAGCCAGTAATGCACTATGACAGATAAATATTCTGAGAATAAAATACCGTTATTAAGTCGCGGCTGGATGCCGCCACCCGGTTTTGTCCGGAGGGAGAACGGCCAGTGTTCAAGGGGAGTGTTTTCCTTGGACCCAGGCTTCATTAGCAAGAACCAGAGAGAATTGAAGAGGAAAAGCTACAGCTACAGAAGTCAGCAGAAACAGCTTCTGTGTCCCTAAGTGTGCTCTTCTCCCCAACACCCAGACTTTAGGAAGCACTGCTGCCATTCCAGAACAGTCCGGCGCTGTGTCCCATCCCAGCGTAGCGTCAGAGCAGTGGCTGCCTGGGAACCCCTACAGCGTTTGCCGTGTGCGTGCCGGACATGCTCCACATGCTCGTTCTGAGCCCGGTCTGCTCTCCCTCTCAGGACAGTGCCCTGAAATGGGCCAGAGCTGGTCTCTCCCTGGCACTGCTGCCACCAGGCCCGGCTCACTCTGGGGGCCGCCCTGGGCACTGCAGGGAGCTGAGCAGCCTCCCTGGCCCCCAGTCCCTCGATGCCAGGAGCATATCCAGTGTGACATCCAAAAACATCACACATTGCCCAGTGTCCCCTGGGAGACAGAATTATCCCCAGGTGAGAACCACTGGGCAAGAGTAACATGAAATCCACTTTTATTATTTTAGATATGTCCAGTTTGCAAATAGAGTAAATGATTCCCAATGACAGTACTTTAACAAAATGTGGCAAATGACTGGTGACACTCTTACCAGGGGTGCCAGCGGGTGGCAGCTCTGCTGGGCTTCGTGTGCCCTTCCCCTTGCTGCCAGCACAGTGGGTATCCTGTGAGCATCTGCCCCTTCCCTCAGCACCTCCAGGCCTCACTGCTTCTCCAAACAGTCCACTCCTCATGGGGTGGGCCACGTGGTGGGGCATCCTTCCTGAGAGTGAGCCAAACCCCACTGTCCAGCCCGGCGCCCCAAGAGCTCTTGAATTGTTCTCAGTGCACCCCCTTGCCCGTGCCAGCCCTCTCGAGGCTGCTTCGGTTGTGTAGATGATCGAAGTGTTGGTGGATAAAATCATAACAGCGTCACTACCATGGCCTTTATTAGGCGCCCTGCCCTGGGCTAAGCCCCACCCCCGGGAGGGGAGACTGTCCTGTTGTCATCCCCACGTCACACCTGAGGATGCACCAACCCAAGCTCCCAGCTGGGAAGTGCCCGAGGTCCCCAAGCACATGCCCCTGGCAGCCACTCTGTACCAGGACGTGCCCAGGGTCACCAGCAGCTTGGACAAAAGCAGGCGCACCTGTGTGACTAAAGCCTTTGGGTGCACAGTCCTCTGCAGAGCTGGGGGCGAGAGCCAAGTCCACTCACACCTGGCGGGTGCGACCCCAGGCCAGGGCCTTCTCTGGGAGCAGCTGTTGGGCCACAAACCATGAAAGCAGCAATAGGCTTGATTCTTTCTGTCCTGAAGGACATCACCCGAGAGAAAAGCAGATGTGTTGGGCGCAGCCCAGCAGCACCCGTCTAGGACTGTGACAGTCAGAGGCTGCAGGTGGCCACCTGCCATGCCAGTGGTGCCACGGGAGAGTGGCGGTGAGCTCCGTTGCTGCTCAACGTGACTGGTGCCCACAGCCCATGGGCTCTTTGGCTGCTTGCCTGTTTCCACCTCACAGGCAAATGGCTGGCTGGATTCTCAGCAAATGCACAGGGACGGTTGGAGATACTCGCAGGGATGCAGCTGGAACGGAAGTCTGGGAGGCCCAGGTGGCGCTTCTCCAGAGGCACTGTCAACAGAGAAGAAACTGGTCCTAGTCTGGGCTCCCAGGAGGGCCCAGTGCGCCGCCATACAGCCCGCAGCCCAGGACCTCGGAGGGGGAGCAGGAGTTTTGCTTCTCTGGCAGTGGGGTGTCTCTCCAGAGGATCACCTGGGAGGCCACCTGGTGTCACGTGAGAGTTGGCACAGGGTTATTCCTAAGCTGTCAGTGCCAGCCAGGGTGCTGAGCAGCTGGCACATTCATCCGCCGTGGGAGGAATGCAGAGTGGCGCAGCCACTTGGGAAAACCGGCCATTCCTTACAAAGTTGAACATACACTCACCATGTGCCCCACGCTTCCACTGCAAGTGTCTGCCCGGTAAAGCGAAAACTTAACGTCCACACAGGAACTTGTCCCCAGCAGCATGATTCACAGTAGCCAACAAGTGGAAGCAACCCAGATGGACATCCACTGACGAGTGGCTACACACAGCGGGGGCTGTCCACACACCGGAGCGTCACTCAGCCACGGAAGGAATGAAGGCCTGACACGCACGACGGCAGGGATGGACCCTGAACACACAGTGCTCAGTGAGAGATGCCGGACACAGAAGGCCACACAGTGGTGACTCCATTTCAGTGAAATGTCCTCAACAGGCAAATCCACACACGGTGGAGTTGTGGGTGCCAGATTGGGGAGTGACTGCTCCTGGGGAAGGGGCATCTTTTTGGGGTGGTGGAATGTTCTGGAATTATGTTAAAGTAGCAATGGTTACACAACTCTGAATATACTAGAAAACACTGAGTTGTGCACTTGAAAAGGGTAGATTGTGTAGTATGTAAACTTTCTCAGTGAAGCTGTTAAAAACTAAACCCACCGTTGATACATGCAGCAACATGTGTGGCTCTCACATGTGCTAAGTGAAAACAGACTCCAGGCTGCACACTGATTCCCCTCTGGTGGCATTTTTGCACAGGCACAACCGTGGGAACCAAGGTCAGATCGGTGGTTACCAGGAATTTGCAGGAAGGGGTGGACTCCAAAGGGAACAGGCAGGGAGAGGCGAAAACTGGGGAGATTGAAGTAATTGGGTGGTGGACACCCAGCTGTCTGCGTTTGTCAGAACTCATAGAGTCGTATGTGAACACATGGTCCGAGTCCCCATCTGTTATTTATATCAGCAGCCATTTACATGTCATCTCTTCCACCTGGCCCCTTACATTCCTCAGTCCCCTGACCATACGGAGAAGGTCACAGAGGCTCCGGCCGAACAGGCTGCCCCAGAACACACTCATGTGAGGGTCCGATGCCAGAACCCGAGCTTCGCCATGACACCTCATCGCCCACCCACCCTGCAGCCACCAGACCACGGCTCTGTTTATAAAAACCAAACTACTCACAGGGATATTGACCCTACTGGCTAAGAAACTCAGTTTTAAATTTGTGTTCATCATTAAAAAAAAACAAACACTTGCCTCACTTTCAAGAGTCTTTTCCAAGGAAAACCTCCCCAGGTGGATTTGATAGCATAAAATTTTTCCAGGTGCTCAGAGGCGCCCCCCCCACCCCTGAGCCACATGATAGGTATTTGTAAGTAGAAAAAAAAAAATCCGTTAAGTCGGCAGGTGTGGCCTGTGGCCGTCTCTCTGTGATACAAAATAATTGTATCCCACCTTCATGCCACAGGCAAAAGGCTCCTAAGTGACCGTTTACCCCCATTATAATTAACATAAACATGGCCTCGTTTTTATTAATGAAAAAGCTCTGACATTAAACCGGGAATCCCAGTGATCGGAGGCCATCACTACCATTTGGGAGAGGGCTGTAAATGCTCATTTTTACCAGCAACACATAAAAATGCCTTCAACAGCCCAGAACGGAGCAGGAGGCTTCCGCATTTCCATTTGGCCAGGTGTGCAGAGGCCATGAAAATCCGAATACACTGGTAGAGGTGTGTGTTTTGGAACCATCTAAAACTGAACTTTTAAAAAATTTTTTCAAGAAAGCTACTGCAATCACGCTGTTCAAAAAGAAAAGCACGCTGAGAGCTTTCCAGGCCCCTGTCTGTCCCGTTCCCGCCCCGTCCTGCGGGAACCGCGACCACCGACCGCCATGTCCCCTCGCAGGGCTTCTGGCAGCCTCTGCGAGCAAGCGTGCAGATCCCGTCCTTCTCTTCTTTTTTTGTATTTAAAACTTTTTATTTTTAATTAATATTAAATTAAAAATGTTTAATTCATATTAACTAGTCTAGTATTAAATACAAGGTTTATATTAAATTAAAACATTAGTAATTTTTTATTTTTTTAGAGCAGTTTTAGGTTCACAGCAAAATTGAGCAGAAGGTGTTGATAACCCCCCACCCCATCAGCACATTCTGCACCGGACGTGGGTCACTTCGGTGAACCTCCACCGACAGGTCACCGTCACCCCAGGTTGACGTGAGGGGTCAGTCTCAGTGCTGTACATTCTGTGGGTCTGGACACAAGCGTAATGACACGTGGCCACCACGTGGTGTCACAAGTGACTTCCCTGCCCCGGAGCAGAGTGGGAGTTGGGGGAACCTCAGGGCTGAGCTGTGGCCGGGGGGCTCGGGAGGCCGGGGAAAGGCCTGCTCCCTTCGGGACTGCAGTGGACCTGACACGCAGGGCGCGGCTGCGCACGCGACGCTTCATGACCCAGTGACCTGTGTCTGTCTTCTCTCCCCAGAAGTGGCAGATGAGCCTGGGGACCAGTGAAGACAGCCAGCACTTCACCTGCACCATCTGGAGGTGAGCTGAGGGTCCTGGCCGTGGGGTCCCGGGAAGGGGTGCCAGCCCCGGGTGAGGGGCTGGCGGGCTCCCAGGCGCTCCCCAACCCACCCCTCAGTCATGGCCATCATCCAAGGGCTTACGCTCGCCGCCGTTGGGCTAACGCCTTGTTTGCCTCCTGATCCCGCTGCCTGGAGCCCAGGGACAGAGGAAGGGGATGCTCAGCCCGCTGGTGGGGTGAAGGTGAGGGACCTGTGTCAGATTGTGTCCCTGCTCCCTGGGGCTCAACCCAAACAGAGCCAGTGCCTCCAGCGTTCATTGATGATTCATTGATGGCCAGGCTGTGGCTGCCCCCCTTGGGCCTGGGGCCCCTGCAGGGGGACAGATCCACAAAAGAGAGTCCGTTACAGGGCAGTGACGGTGACCTTCATCAAAGGACACTCGGCATTTTGATCATGCTGATTGGCACCATCCCAGCCTCCTGTTCGCTGCTTTACAAACAGCAGGTGCTCACTAAGCAGCGCTGGGGGAAGTTCTCACCTGTCCTGTGGACCGGCCCCTGCTGGCAACGAGCAGAGGCACCAGGGGCCGGAGGCCCAGCGTGCACAGCAGGCTTTCTCCAGCCCTGTTGAAAGGCGGCCCTTCCGTGCCCCTCCCAGCTCCCAGGGGCCTCAGAGAGCAGCACGGCAGAGGCAGGGGGCCCCACTGCCTGCCTCCCCCTCTTCCTGGTTAACTCCTGTCCTTCTCACCCTCCCAACCCCCATTGCAATGCAATATATTTTAATGCAATAAATTTAATATTTAATAATAATATTATCATTAGCACTTGATTAAAAAATCATTCAGTGAATGAACACAAGGGTCCCTGGCCTAGAGCAGCTGGTGCCCAGAAGGTGAAAGAGGCCTGTCAGCATCTCAGCTGGAAGAACATTCCAGCAAAAAGGAAAGATGGGGTGATTGGAAGGGGCCCCGTTCTACACAGAGTGAGCAGTGCCTTGAAACTGTTTCCATCCTGAGAAGCAGGGGACCCCTGCCCCCCAGCCGACCCCCTCGCCCGGCCTTTCTCTCAGACCCCAGGGCAAGTCCTACCTGTACTTCACACAGTTCAAGGCGGAGGTACGGGGCGCCGAGATCGAGTACGGCATGGCCTACGTGAGTACCAGCGGGGCGTGCGGGTGGCTGGCGGGGCGCCCCGCCGGGGACTGTGCCTCCCAGACCGCCGGAGGCGGTGGGGAGATGGATACCAAGTCCTCTGAGGGGATTTTGTAACTGGGCAGGACAAGGGACACCAGGCAGACCCCAGGCCTGGAGGCACGGGACGGGGAATTGTGGTACCCAGAGGGGGACCCAGCCGACTCCTAGAGACCTGTCGGGAAAAGCAGGAAGGGGCCACCCGGTTTCCCTCTCCTCCAGTCCACCAGTACCCCAAAGCCAACCGGAAGCCAGAGGGCATGGGGGCCCCTTCTCATGCCCTGGAGGCTCAGGCCGTGTGGCTCAGAGGGCTGGGAAGGGCACCCCCCTCGGCCCCTGTGGCCTTGGTTCACAGCCCAGCCCGCCCCTTCTCCCGTGCTCCTGACCCCCAGGTGCCCCGCTAGAGGCCTGCTGCACTGCACAGCCTCTCCCCCAGCCCTCGCTTCTGTGATGGGGTCAGAAACAGCATGGAAACGACTTTGTCAGTCCAGAAAACCTCTTTATCAGAACCAACAGGAGACAGGCTTATTGCCATGACCTGGTGTCTGCCGTGGGGTATCGGCAAGGCGGTTCCCGAGCCTGCTGGCCAGGCTGGCAGGAAGGGCAGGCCCTCTTGGGTCTGGGCGACACTGCCGTCCCTGGGCAGGGTCTCCTCTTCAGGGCAGCCTCGGCTCTGCTCTGAAGGCCCTTCCCGCCCGGGTCACTGGGGATAACCTCCTTGACTTAAAAGTCAGCTCGTGGTGGATTCGATCACGTCTACGGGACACCTTCACACAGCGGATGTTTGATCGCACAATGGGGGGCTGTGGCTCCAACTGGACGCATCAGACACCCCCACACCACTGAACTAATTGCTCTGTGGGGTCCCTTCCTAACTTAAAATTCTATTATTTTAACTGATTTGAGACACAATCCTGATTTTTAATAATCACATTTAAGGAACGGCCATGCTGGTACCATTTCCATAAATTATTAACTAAAGAAAAAAAATGGAATGAAATAAGCTTCCTCCTAGGATTTGCAGCAGAGGCATGAAGTTCTAAGCCGGGCGACATTCTCAAGTGGACCAACCCACCGCTTCTGCAGGACCCTCTTTTATGCGCTTAGACAAGCATCCTGCACCTCTTTAGTCAAAATGTGTTTTTTCCTGATGAGAAAAGTTCCCACTTGTCCTCTTTCAGTCTAAAGCTGCATTTGAAAGAGAGAGCGATGTTCCCCTGAAAAACGAGGAATTTGAAGTGACGAAAACCGCAGGTACATGAAGGAGGATGTGAGCCAGACCCCAGGTGCCCGAGCAGAGGAGGCGGGAGAGGGCGGCAGGGGCCCCCGTGGTGAGGGGGCTGCCATTGGCTCCTCCAGGTCGGGGCCGCAGCCACAGGCTGCCTCCGCAAAGGCCACATGGGAAATATTTTCCCTTTTCAGGGCAGGAGGCCCATGTCAGAGCTCCTTGGCCTGCCCCAGTAGGGTAAAGGCAGCTGTAGACCACATGTCAGTGAACGGGTGCGGCCACATTCTAATAAAACTTTATTTCATGGCAGAGGAAATGTGAATCTCACATCACTTGACCAAAACGCAGAATACCATTAGTTCTTTTGGTTTTTATTAGAGCCATTTAAAAATATAAAAGTCACCCTTAGCTCGTGGACACGCAGCACAAGGGGAGGATGAGCAGAGAGTCAGGGCAGCACTGAGCAGACGGGATGGTGGGCACAGGCCAGATTCCCTGGCGCTGCTGGGAAAGTACCATATGGGCATGAGCCAAGTTTGCCAGTGAGAGCAGGAGATGATGCAGTCTGAGCCCCGACCCCAGCCACTCGCCACATGGCAGAAATGACCACAAGTCTTCCCACCTGGAAATTCTCTGTCCCTCACCTGTGAGACTTGTAGTGCCAGGGGCCTTTCCCTGTGGAGCCGACTGCAGAGACTGCTCCCTCCCTGTGGGCCCCGCCCCGACCAGCACCCGGAGCGCTGTGGGGTGGCGCGAGCCCAGCTGCCGCCTCTCTCTTGCAGTGGCCCACAGGCCTGGGGCATTCAAGGCTGAGCTGTCCAAGTTGGTGATCGTGGCCAAGGCGTCCCGCAGTGAGCTGTGACCCGGAGCCCCATCGGGGGGTGGCTCCTCCTTGTGTCGGCTGACGGAGCCAGACCCCGAGAGGGCTGCTTTCCTAGGGGGCACTGTTGGTTTTCTGAACGGGCTGACGTTGCCCCGTTCCAAGGGGTTCGCAGAGCAGCTGAAGCCTAGGGCAGAGAAGGGGGGCCAGAAAGCCGAAGATGTGCTGGGCTCCTCCCCTGGTGCCCCCTGCCCTGCCCCGGTTCTCCACCGTGTTCTCCGGAGCACAGAGTGGTAAGACCCGCTGCTCGTCCATCTTACCAGAAGACGCATCAGGGCACAGAGTGGGGGCTTCCAGCAGGGGGGTTTCTGAAGCCAGTGGCTGTCTTCCCTGGGATCAGGCCAGGCTCCAGGGTGCTCCCCGGGAAAGCCACCTCACCACTCTCTGCCCCCCAAGCCAGCTGTTTTCCGACCTCCCCAGGGGACCTCCTTTCAGACTAACTGGGAAGAAGTGAGATGTTCTTTTATATTTAAATAAATAAGATGATTGAAAAACAATCACACAGACTTGGTAACTGGCGCTGGTGCCCACCTGGCAGGGTGCAAGAGCTGGGGGCCCGGGACAGCAGCAGGGGCTGGCCACCCCCACCTCCCTTCCCTGAGATGGGTGAGTTCCATCACCCGAAACCCCTGGAGACCCTGGGCACACCTTTTCTCGGTGCCAAGGTGGCCAGCTATGAACCTGCTGAGCGCCAGGCGCTGGCTGGCCCTGATCCCCTGGGACAAAGCTGGCCATACCTGCGGCTCACACAGGCGGCCCTGGCAGAGGGAGAGCGCCCCCGGCAGACCTGCTCCAATGCACCCAGGGGGTCGGCTTTGCTTAATTTTTTGAGGCCAGGCTGTGGCATGGTGACTTGAAACAGGTACCCACAAGCAGCATAAATAAATAAATCCCCAGCTGCCCTACCGTGCAGAAGGGCCTTGGTCTCCCAGCAGTGGGGGCGGGGGAGTCTGATGTCCAGCTTGATCTTCAACCTGCCCTCCGACCGTGTCTTCTCGGGAGCAAATGGGAAAAGAAACTGCAGAGCTCTCTTGGCATCAGTTGGCTGGGCTGTGAATCGGGTCCTTGCTGATCAGAATCACCGATGGGACTGACACAGGGGTCCCTGTACCTTTCCCATGCCTGGCCCTCCTACCAGCTGAGGACCTGGGCGCTGCTGTGACCCCACTTGCCAGAAGTGGGTGGAGGGCATTGGGCCTGCCCAGGGTAGCTCACCTGGAGGAGGCGGAGTGAGGCGGACACCCTGTCCACACTCGGTGCTGATGTAGGAGCAGGTTCAGAGTCCGGTGAGTGAACAAATAGGGGCGGGGGTCCTCGGGCCCCGAAGACCCTCAGGGGAGGGAACAGCCTGCCGTCATCCTCACAGCACATGTCGGTGCTGCCTTGGGACTTCTGGGGCCCACGCGGCTGCAGGGAGGGCCGCCCAGCTGAGGTCTGCTGAGCACAGGGACCTGCTGATACTGTGTGGTCCCCTCCTGGGTTCTGGAGCCTTCCTGACTCCCAACTTTGAGGTTCAAGGGACTGAAAAACCAAGCGAGCCTCCAGGGCCTGAGACAAGATTGCCCGGAGCCTCCTGCAAAAACAGGGCCGTCGGAAACCTTGGGGGCAGTGTTGCACCGGGGTCCCTGAGGGGTGGGTGCCAAACCCCAGCCTGGCAGTGGGATCCTCCCACAGGCAGTCCTGAGTCATCCCTTCCAGGTCCCTGGGCCTCACCTAGGACGCAGAGCCCGTGAGGGCGCCTTGCCGAGATGGGGCAGGGCAACTGTGGGCACATCTCTGCCCCCAGGGGACATGTGAGGGCATCTTTATGTAGCTTTCAGGTAAGCTCAGAAACAAAGCCACCCCAGCCCCAGGACCTCGGTCACAATGGAGAGCTGGCCGGAGCCCGTTGGGCGTGCAGAAGCCAAGCCCGGCCGTTCTGCTAGTGTTGTCACCCCTGCAACTGGTGGAGCGGAAATCAGACCTGTCAGGGAGGGTCAGGGCCGTGTGACATTTACATGCAGCCGTGATTGAAAAGGCAAAAACCCCAGGAGGACACGAGAGCTGTCAGACGGCGCGGAGAAATTCAATCACCAGTTCCGTATAATGTGAGTGGAAGATGGGCACTTTTATTTAAATAGTTGTGCTGCGCTCTCTGGTTTTTTAAATTAAACCTCAAATTTATGGAAAGAGTCCAGACAGGCTGGACAGCCCAGCAGGGCACAACTACAAAGCGTTACGCACACTGACACATTCAGGCAGCAGAGCCCAGGGCAAAGGCTTTCATCTGGGGCTTCTGGAGGTGCTCAAAATGCACGTGTGCGCTTGCATTTGAAGATGCGTTTCTTGACCGAAGATAAGAGAGGAGTTTTGTCTTGGAAGAGTGGGGCTGGCTCTCGGTGAAAGAACTTTGGCTTTTTCAGGGAAGGAGGAACCAAAGTACAAAAAGGCCGTCCTGCAGGTGAGGTCATTATCTCCTTTCAGCCAGGGAGAGACAAAAGGGAGTGGTGGAGACTGTGGCAAAGCCGAGAGGGGGCAACCCCGGTGCAGCTTCACCAGGGGGCAGCCCAGGCCCCAGGGGAGTTCCAGAACCTCCAAATCTAGATCAGGATGTGCTGCTTCCTTGTTTTAAAATGTTGGCAGCTAATTCCAAATGTGTCAAACGTTGGAGGGGGCCAACCAAACCCATCTTCCTGCCTAAAAAGACCTGCAGGCCCCATTTGCAACTTATGCCCTCAACAGACACAGTTCTTCAGGCGGTCACAGGACATCATTTTCCCCTCCCCAATGGGCACCCGCATTAACCTGCCACGCCCTGGCACATCTGCCCCGCTGGCAGCGTTCTGCAACCTTTCAAAGCCCATGTCCCCTTCTGACTGACAGACGTGGCAAGGATGCTCCCACGCCCTGTGTGCCCATCTTGAGCTAAGAATCGCTGCGTCTTCTGGGCACCACCAAAGCCAAGCTTCACTGAACTGTCCTGTCAGGTCTGTTCACAGAAATAGTCATCTGTGTGTGTTTCCCCAGCATGAATGACCGATTAATGTGGGTGCATCTCAGGTGGCTTTACTCGGAGCCCTACGCTGGGGGCCCACTCTGTCCCCTTCCACAAGGGAATCAGGACTCCAATTCCAGTCAAACAGAGGCAGCCTCGCTGACAGTGCCCACCCAGTTCTGGCGGCCAGAGGTCTGAGATCAAGGTGGCAGCCAGGCTGGTTCCTTGATGCCTGTGGCAGGCCTTCCCCATGTCTGGGGGTGGCTGGCAATCCTGGGTGTCCCTCAGCTTGTAGACACATCTCTCCACCTCCACATGGCCTTTTTCTCTGTCTCTGTGTCCAAATGTCCCCTTTTTATAAGGACACCACTCATGTTGAGTTAGGAGCCACCCGACTCCAAGTGTGACCTCATCTTAACTAATCACACCTGCAATGACCCTATTCCAAATAAGGTCACATTTGGAGGCCCAGGGGGGAGGGCTGCCACAGAGGAATTTGGGGTACACAGTGCACCCTTTTCTGGTTCACCACAACCCTGTCTGAAGGAACGAAAAGCCCTAGCAACATTATTAAGTGGGAAATGCTGGCTTTTGCAGACATGCCACCCTGAGCAGGCTGTGGGGTCTCCACATTGAATTCCTCTCCCCAGCAGGATGGGGCTGGAGGAGAAGCAGCACAGGTCCGGAAAACTGCTTCCTCCAACAGCTCAGCATCTGAAAGGGGGTGGGCCACCTGTCCGGGCACGCGGCCAGAGCTGGGTGGGAGCGGAGAGGTCACCCTCCTCTGCCCCCCACAGGACGCCCCAGGCGGGGGTCATATGCTGTCCTCGTCCAGCATGCGGGTGAGCCCCTCGCAGATCCTGCGCAGGTGCGAGCGGTAGGGCTCGACGGGGCTGTAGAGCGCGGCCAGGAAGTCGCAGTCAGCAAAGTGGCTGAAGACGTGGTTGATGCGGCCGTGGGACTTGGCGGTCAGGTGAGGGCCCACCGCCTGGTGCAGCAGGTCCCGGCACTCGTGCAGGGTGGCGGCCAGCACGCGCCGGTCAAAGGTGAAGTCCACCTGGTAGAAGCTGACGGCCGTCATGGCCAGGCGACGCGCCTTCTGGCGGAAGCGCTGCAGCAGCCCCAGCTCCTCGCTGTCCAGCTGGCCACCACGGAGCAGGACGCCCAGCTTCATGGCCACCTTGACCAGGTTCTTGACCACCTTCTGGGCCTCTTTGCGGCTGCGAGTGAACTCCTTGGTGGCGCGGTACAGCTCGTCCAGCACCTCACTGCTCGTGTCATCGATGAACACGGCCACCATTGCCTTAGACGCCATCTTGCTCAGGAGCTTCTTCTGGGCCTGCAGGGCCAGGCTCTTGGTGCTGAAGGTGTCCATCGCCCTGCCAGGAGGAGAGACAGACCAATCGTCAGTGCCCCTGGCCCCTGGTGGCAGGGCGGGGCTTGCCTGGTGGGCCACTTTTGTTTGCTACCATTGTCTTCCCAATCTGTGAAATGGGTGCATGCCAAGGGCATACCTTCAGGGAGCCATACGGACAGTGTGACCGTATTGCAGACCTACTACTAAGTACCAATGGTGTACCAGCGCGGTGTGCACAGCGGAGAACCGACAGGCCAGCGCGCATGTCAGGAATGGGTGGTGAGTGCCACCATCGGGAAAGCTACCAGAGCCCGTGGCATGGGCACCCCAGTAGATCAAGGGGGTCCTCAGAGGCCTCCTGGAGGAAGGGACAGGTGAGAAAATGGGGGTGGACACATCCCAGGTCGAAAGATCTGCACACTCCCAGGCCCAGAGGAGCGAAGCTCCGCGTAGCTAGAAGCAGGGAAAGTCCTTACACAGGAAAACTGTGGGACGATGACAACCCGAGGGAATTTGTTTCTTAACAACAAAAAGAGGGTGTAGGGAATTTATTTCTTAAAAGATAAGAGAGTGTTAAGTCAAAAGAATTAATGTGTAATGGTAAAATCGTGGGCAGAACGCTCTGAAGTCACTACTTGTGAGCCCCAGCCCCCCAACCCACCATATCCTTGCTGTGGGTGGAGAAGGGGCCAAGGTGAGTCACCACAGGAGGACCCCATGCCCCCTAAGGCCAGCTCCCCATTCCCCACCCCATCCTGCTGTTCATCTAAATGGGGTCCCAGCCCCAGGCTGCTCTGAGGGGAGGCCCAGTTACCATTACCAGCTCACCAGGCTTATTATCCCCATGAGTTCACAATGCACGTCCCTGAAGCCTCGGGCCCCGACTGGGAGGGCCAGTGGCCCTGGCTGTGGGCTCGCCAGGGCCATTTGTGGGGTTTCTGGAAACGCACCACTCCGATGAGCCCTTCTATACGGAAACATTAACCTGTGAAAGCTGCTGCCCCAGAGAGGGCTGGGGAGATGGCCAAGGAGAATGGCAGGCCGGCTTGGGGGACCAATGGCCAGGCTTCCCACTGCAGGGCCCTCTGTCTGCCCCTCCCATCTGTCCTCTGTCATCCTTCCTGCCACGGGTGTCTCCAGATTCGCCACATGGTGCAGACTCTACTCCTACCACCTCCTTCCTGCATATCTGGGTACGGCCCCTCCCCTCTGAGAACAGATGGCAGCTCCCTGTAGCCCCAGGACTAAGCCCCACATCTCATTCAGGTCCCTGCATCGTTCCTCATAAACTCCTATACATCCCCTGAAGCCCTGGACCCGACGTTCCTGCCTCTTCCCCTCAAAGATTCATCCCTCTCCTCAGCCTAGATGCCACCTCCTCCAGGAAGCCATCCCTGAACACCCAAACTGATGGTGAGGCACCTCCTCTCCGTGGTGGGCCACACGGCTCCCCCATCACTGCTTGACGCGCCCTGCTCTGACCTCCCCACTGCTGCGCCCCACCCCTGACTCAGCCACTGTGTCCTTGGAGACGCCAGAGACATCTGCCCAGTGAATGAGGAGAGCCCGAGAGCCACCCCAGCCCTCGGGTAGAATCCACCCCCACCCAGCCCCAGGCAGCCACACCAGGAATGCCACGTGGGCGCCCACTCACCCCCAGGAGGCCCCACAAAGCCCATCTTTGTGCGAGCTCAAGCCCCAGGAGAAGTCCCACCCCTCGGCTGCCCTCTCGCCTGCCCTCAGAGGTCAGGGTGGGCATGGAGATTACTGGACAGCCTTCCCGGCCCCCAGCACCAGTCACCGGACCCGGGGCCTACACAGGCCTTGACTGGAGCAGATGCTGGTGACCGGCACCACGTGCCAGGCCCTGAGGCAGCTGCCTGGCCCATTTTGTCATTTCCGCCAGGTATTGGCAGGGTTTGGGCTGGTTGCCAGTTTTGCAAAAGAAATTACACAGACTCAGAGATGCTGAGCCACTTCTCCAAGGCCACAGAGCAACACAGTGACTGCCTGCCCCCAGCGCCTCTGCACACCTGACCCCCTCCGCCTTCCTTCTCAGACCCCGATGCCTGGGGGTTGCCTGCTCTGAGTCCTGGAAGGCGGGGAGCCGTCCCATGGCAAATGCAGCCCCAGTGCTCAGGGCCTGCTCCCAGCTCCAGCTGCTCAAGTGACACAACCACCTCGTGCCTCAACTTCCCCATCTATGAAATGGCACAGATTGGAGCTAGCTCTGTTCTGGGGCCGAAACTTGTGGACAATCCCAATCTGTCCAGTTTCCAGATGGACAAACTGAGAGTCAGAGAGGAAAAGGCCTTTCCCTGAGCTCAGGGATGAGGCCCTGGCGTCCCAGGGCCCTAGAGCCCAGGTCTGTCAGCCTATCTCGGTCACTGTGTGACCCTGAGCAGGGCTCTGTCCCTCTCTGGGCCTTGGCCTTCCCATCACAAGCCCTGAGATGGGGAGTGTTGGTTCAGGAGGGCAGCTGGGCCTGTTTACCAGCTTCGAGAAGGGCCTGGGCCCCCAGCTGTACCTCCTCCCAAGCCCAGTAGGAAGAGCAGCAGGGGCCGGGGCAGCTGCAGTCTCCCCTTCTAACCTCCACCCCAACCACTGGGGCAGCCCCAGGCCGACCCACACCTGGGCCAGCCCAGCCGCCTGCCACCCGCCCGCTCCTCCCCGTCCCATTGTCCTGACGGGATGACTGCCCCCCAGGGGAGCGGGCCAGAGACCGAAATAACCCCCGCCTTCCTTCCTGCTTGCTGCACTCACCAGGTGGGAGGCCGCCTCAGGGCCCTCCTGGGGCAGGGCCCCCGCTCCCTGCCCTCCCCGGGGCCCCAATGCCTGGCTCTCATGCCAGGCCAGAAAAGCTCGCTAAAGCTTCAGGGCTTGGCTGGAACACCCCCTCCGGCGCTCAGTGAGCATTTACGGCACACCGACTGTGTCCCAGGCACTGGGCACACAGGAAGAACCAAGAGACCCTGCCCCCCAGGGGGTCCTAACCCCCAGACCTACGCCGTGCAGTTACCACACAGTAACCCGGAAGCCCCATTTTCCTGAAACCGAATCCCAGATGGTGCTGTCCACCTGCAGTTTGAAAATAAAATGAATAGGGTGGCGGTAAAGCTCACAAGCAGCGAACACAGGAACAAGCAGGATCATTTCAGGGAGAGAGGGGAAGACAAGGCGGAGGGGGGCGGTGACAGCCAGGGACAGCAGGTGACCTCGGCCAGGAGGGCCAGGAAGGCCTCCCGGAGGTGGGACTCCTCCAACTGGGGGGACTGGAGGGGCAAGGTCGGGGGAACGGACGGGGCTGGTGCTGAGGCTCTGGAGCAGGACCGCGCCCTCCATGTAGAAGGAACAGCGACAAGGCCAAAGGCCTGTCCACCGTCCAGGCCCTCCCCTGGCCCTGAGGTCTCCCCACTGTGACTCCAGGCACGCCCCATCCCGGGGAGCAGCCCTCCCATCTGTGAAATGGGTGCCCAGGTGCGGAGTCCTTGGACCTGTTGACTCCTGCCCTGTTCCCCACAGCCTCCCCCCCAGAATTCTGGACCGCAGTCGGCACCTTGGCCTTCGCCCTCTGCCAACTGCCACTTTGTTTTCTGGACTCCAAATGTCATCCCTGTCCCATTTTGGACACTCGAGCTCCCAAATGCCCTGCAAACTGGCCACAGACAGTGATCTTGAACTTCAGGGTTTCTCTAGACACAACGCACCCCTTCTGGGTGGCGGCAAAGGGCAGGACGCAAGACCAGTGGAAGCCTCCCCTGAGGGCGGAGCGCACCCGCCTTTGTGGACCTTGTTCTTCCCATCCCTTCCGTTCCCTGGTTCCTCCACCTCTCCCTGTGACTGTGTATAACCGCCCTTCCTCCTGTGCCCCCCTCCCTCGCTCAGATCCAGCCTCACTGGTCTCATGGCCGTCCCTGCAACATGGTGGCCTCAGGGCCTTTGCCTGTGCTGTGCCCTCTGCCCCACAGTGGGGGAGCCAGGGGAGGGTGCATTCGCAATATACAGGTTCCCCCTGCACAGAGAGGCTTCCCCTGACACCGTAAATAATTCACTCCCAGTCTTTTCAAACCTCCCCTTTATTTTTGACAGTTAATTGACTCCGCCTATTGATTTATGACTTATGCTCCCCCAGACACCCTGGGCTGAGCACACAGCAACCCACCCACACATTCCTGGGCCATGGTCATGCTGGGGTGGCCCCTCAACCCACACATTCCCGGTTCTAGACACTGGGCGTGGGCCGGAAATCTCACCTTCCAGGGTCCTCCGTGCCCCTCAGATTCTCCGTGAATGCTGTATCCTAACGCCACATGTGCCGGGAAATTCTTGGCAACAAGCTTTCCAGCAAAAAACAAATCCACACACTTATGTACATACGTATGTTTATCATAAATGTTCCTGACACACAGGATGCACACCACACAATTTACACACACAGTAAGCTATACAGTATTCTTTACTGTAAATATATCCAATTGATTCTCACAAAATGTTCTAGTGCGTTTTGCCAAATGTTTCTCAGTAGCCAACCTACAGATGTGATTGGCAAGTGAGTGCAGTTCTGACAGAGACTCATTTGGTGTGTTCCTTTATATTAACAAGTAAGACTAACGTGAAACAAGACTTAGAACTGCATTTAGTCAGTCATCAGTCACATGAGCATGGCCTTCGCCGAATCAGATAGTGGTTTTTGCAAGTGGGAGCAAAATTCCTCAGTGCTTTTGTGCTATTCACAAGGAGACAGCTGTGACAAGTCACATTTTTAAGTTTAATTTTCATTATTGACATTTTCTTCATCACTTTCCCAAGTTCTACCGGGAGTTGGCAAACTATGGCCCACTGCCTGTTTTTGTAAATAAAGTTTTATTGGCTCACAGCCATGCCTCTTTATGCATCATCTGTGGCTGCTCTCACACTATAAGGGAAGTGTTGAATAGATGACACAGACTGAGTGGCTTGCAAAGACAAAAATGTATACTATCTGGCCCTTCACAGAAAAAATTTGCTAACCCCTGATTTTCAAGACAATCAACAGAACAAGAAATCAAGCCCTGATTGGTAGTATTTGCCCATTTCCCTGGTGTAAATTCTCCCACCAGGGCCCATTTCAAGCTTCTAACTCGATGGTAAGTTGGGAACAGAGTTGGGAAGACGTGCTCACAATTTCCACCCAACAGATACAGTAGATGAAAATAACCTCAAGGATACAGATCATAGTAAAATGTAGTAAAATAATTAGCAAGTTATGATTTTTGACTATTTATGACTTTTGCTTTTTCGTAACTTTTGTGGAAATATTAATTCCCATACCACAAAATTCACCTTTTGAAAAGTGTACAGTTCGCTGGTTTTCACATAGTCACAGAGCTGTGTAACCACCACCACCATCTAATTCCAGAAATTCTCACCTCCCCAAAAAGAAAAGCCATCCCCATCAATCATTCCCCCACTCCCCCTGCAGCCCCTGGAAACTACCAATCCACTCTCTGGATACATTGTATCTAACTAGACGTTCATATATATTTTAAATAACGGCTGTGTGAAAGCCAAATGGTGAAATTCCTGGAAATACAGCCACGGGCTCCCATGAGCGGGACGAGCTGGCTCCAGCATGCCACTGGCCCGCGGGCAACTGCCCCCACCGCATGAATTCTTCATGCCCCATACAGAGCGCATCAATAATTGATGGCCCGCTCAGCATGGCCCAGCCAGCCGCTCCATCTTGTCCCAGCCCTGCTGCAGAGGCTCAGGGTGGCCTCAGGGGCCCCAGGCCACTGCTCACAGGGGCAAATGCCCCCCAAGTCCTTGTTCCACACAATACCCACTGCCGGCATCAAGGCACCCACTGCATCAAGCCCTTTATCGACCATTACTCAGACCTCGTGGTCAGTGCCCACTTTAGATATGACAAAAGAGAGAGTGGGGACACTGGTGGTTCTCAAACTAGGTTCCCTGGAGCCCTCGGGGGGCCACCCCAATAATAGGCGGTGCCTGGCTGCCTCCAGGCTGTAGTGGGAGCTGGGGTGCTTTCCACTGTGGTCAGATTTCCACTGAAGAAAGGGCTTGGGGGCCAATCATGAATGTTGGGAGACCACCATTGACCCGCTGCAGAGGCCAGGCTAGGGCTTGGGCTGAGCAAAAGACAGCAGGTGGTGGAGGCTTCAGGGTCACCTGGCAGGATGCGGATACAGCCCCTAAGTGAGCACAGCTCCACCTGTTTCTCACCTCCGTACAGCCTCTGCCCTCATCCCCCAGTTCCAGAGCTCCTGCCCTTGTCTCCCATGTCTGTCCTCCTGGCAGCAGCCACCAGAGGGCGTCAATGAGCACCTGAGTCGGGTACCCCCTTCTCTGCCCACTGCCCTCCAGGGCTCCTACCTTCCTCCCGTCAAAGCCCAAGGCCTCCCCACACCCACGAGCCCCTGCCCTCCCCCTCTCTCACTCCGCCCCAGCCACATGGGCCTCTCTGCGGTTCCTCCTACATGCCAGGCAGGGTCTTACCACAGGACCCTTGCACTGGCTGTCCCCTCTGGCTGGAATGCCCTTCTCCCCAGGTTTCCCATTGGTTATTACTTTCTTGTCATTCAGGCCTCAGCTCAAACATCACCTCCTCAGGAAGCCCTCCCAGATCCCCCATCAAGTTCCCATCCATTTGTCTCTCCATTATCTTGCAATTATAACTAAGCAAAATGATTATTCTGGATGAATGGCTATCTTTCCCAACCTGTCTATGAGCCCAGTAAGGGAGGCCACCAGATTGGCCTGGGTCATTGCTGCATCCCAGGCACCCGGCACCAGGCTGGGCTCACAGAAGGTGCTCAAACCTGTTTGCTGAGTGAATAAATGACCAAAGGGGCAAGGCTCCCCCAGGTGGATGCTTCCCACCCACAGAAAGGGAGACAGGCCTGGAGGCAGGGCCTCCTAGATCCCAAGGACTCGGCCAGTGGCGGCCTCACAAAAGCTAAGGTGGGTGGGAATCCGGGGAGGCTGTTCTGAGGTAGGGTGGGGATGCAGCATCCCACAGGAGCCACATGCGGCATAACTGCGCCACGTCCTGTCCTGTCATCTCTGGGCCCCACCTGAGCAGCTGTAACACCTGAGGCTGTACCCAGACAAGCATGAGTCCTTATTCAGCATCTGCCTCTGGGCATGGTTCCATGACAACAGCTGGAGTTTTTTCCTCAGGCACCCTTTCCTGGCCCCATATCACAGACAGGGACACTAAGGCCTCCTGAATCTACCACACTGGATCACCGAAGCAACCAAACGGCCTTCACCTGCCCAGGCCTCAGATGAGCAAACAGTCTCAGGGGGTATCTGACCTGCATAAGGCCAATGGAGGGGACACTACAGGGCCTCCATTCCACACTTGACTGGTCTCTTGGTTTAGAGACCCCCTGCGCCCTGTCAGAACAGTGTTCGAGCCCTCCACCCACTCCCTCCAGGAGTCTGGGCACTCACCCACTACTGGCATCCCAAGCCATCAGCCCTGCCAAGTGGGAGAAGCGTAGCCCAGGTGTGTTTGTGTGGCTGGAGGGACAGTTCTTTGTTCTGGTTTCCATAGGTACAGCGTCTCTGGGCCGGCCCCTCCTCCACCCCTCCCAGTAGCTCAGCCCTTGCCTGGCAGTCCCTTGGCCAGGCCCATCTGGGCAACTTGTTATGTTTCAAAGTTGGCGCCAGTGAACCTGGCATGGCATTAGAGGGAACAGCCCGTGCAAAAGCCCTGAGGCAGGACTGTACCTAACATGTTGGAGGAATGTAGAGCAGATGGTGAGAGAGGTGTACTGTGGGAGGTGAGGGACAGGAGGAGACATGCAGGGCCCATGTTTCAGCATTTAATCCTGGAAGCAGCCCTGACCCTCAAGGAGTTATGTCAATCTCCATTTTACAGAGGGGAAACTGAGGCTCGGAGAATCGAATTACTTGTTCAAGGTACCCTGGCGAGTGGCAGAGACAGAAACCCACGTCTGTTTGATTCCAAGGTCTGAACTCCCCAACTATTGGGCGGAACCGTCCTTACCCTGCTGCGGCCCCCCAGGGCATCCACCAACCCCAGCTGGGCTCAGATATGCTCAGGAAGTAACCTCCCAGGCCTGTTTACAGCTGGGGCCCCCAGGATAGAGGAGGTGGGGACGCACACAGATCTAGGTCAGATCACCTGCCAGTTACCACAGCTACCTTCCCAGTTCACAGCTGGCAAAAGTGAGGCCAAGGCTTCAGGCCACCAGGGAGCTCCTAGGTGGCCAGTCTGGGTGGCGCGGCTCTGGCTATCCTGGCTGCCTGGACCGCCACAGGCCACAGTCATTCCCACCTTCATGCCTTTGGCCAGGCTCCCCACCACCTGGAATGCCCTCCTGACACTGGAATCTGGCCCTAGTACCTGGCACCCTGCACTGTAAAAGGGGCAGAGTCCATCAGAATCCCTGTGTGTTTCGGGGTGGGGGGAAGCTGGTCCCAAAGCACCACCCCAAGCCACGGGGGACAGTGCAGATGCAGTCTGCCTCCCCCTAACCCACACAGCAAGAGAGTAACAGAGTGCAAGCAAGAAACAGACAGGGACAGGGAAACTGAGACAGAAATACACAGAGAGATACGGGGTGCAGGAGTATAGGGGGCAGGAGAGACAGAGGGCGGCCAGGTGGTCCCCTAGATGTGCGGAGATGGGGGGCGCCATGTCATCGCTCACTCACCTGCTCTCCCAGGTCCGTCCGTCTGTCCCACCGATAGTCGGCAATCTGTTCAGCCACCTCCGACGGACCGCTTCGGCGGCCGCGGAACTCGCGCCTGAGGACTGGGACGGGGCGGGGCGGGAAGCTAGACTCCGCCCACCAAACGCCCCTCCCCTAGGCGCGGCCCCGCCCCGCCCCCGCCCGCACCGAAAGGACAGGAGAGGGGCCGGGCCGAGAGGGTGGGCCCAGCCAATGGCAGTGCGGGCGACGTACAAAGTCGCCAATGGGAGCAGAGCACCTCCCGGGAGGAGACGGGATCTAAGGCGGGGCCAAACGGCTCCGGGGAATTCCTCCGGAATCGAGAAAGGGGCCGGATGCGGGGGTGCTGGGCTGGCCTTGGGGCACAGTACGAAGATAGGGGAGGAAGGAGGCACAGAGTCAAAAACAGAGAACTGGGGGCTGGGTGGAGAGAAAGGACGGAGAGAGCCAGAAAGAAAAACAGACCGACCATGTGGCTTTGGGCAGGCCCCTCCCTCCGGGACTCAGTTGACCCACCTGGGCTAATGCACAAACCCGTTTTCTTTACGTACTGCCGCGGGAACCCTTACAAATGCAGATTCCTGTACCCTCACAAGGGCTGAATCTGACCCAAGGTTGAAGGTACACCGCTCTGAGCTGCAGATAAATTCTCGGGGGGTTTTAGGCAGCCACTGGGGGACAGGCTCTGGGGACCTCACCAGGGGACACCCCGATCCAGCCTCGATTTCCGTGGGAATGAGCCAGTGGGACACGCAGGAGCCTGCTGGCCGCCAGCGGGTGGAGCGGCAGGGCCAGCTGGGGCCCCCCAGGAGGATGCAGCTGTGAGTCCTGGGAAGTGAGCCCAGGAGCGGCTCTCATCCCGTCTGCTGCCCCATTTCCTCCCTGCAGCCCCAACTCGGTGTTAGTTGCAGCGCGGGCCAGGGGAGGCCAGAGCAGGCCAGACAAGTGTTTGTTGAGTGCCTGGTGTGTGGAGTCCTGTTCTGCACACCGGGGACACACAACCCTGGCATGGGCCTCATGAGACAAAAATAAATGAAATGTCTCCACATCCCTTTGGAGGAGGAAACTGAGGCCCAGAGAGGGGAAGTGACTTGCCTGAGAACACACAGGCTCAAGTGGCAGAGCCAGGATTCCAACCCAGGAGTGCTTGTCCCAGCAACTACCACCCACAGCCAGGTCCAGAGTTCCTCACCCTTGGCACTGTTGAAATTGGGAGATGGTAATTCCTGTGTGTAGAGTGGGGCCATCCTGGGTACTGTGGGGGTGTTGAGCAGCATTCCTGGCTCCCACTTACTTGATGTCAGGAACAAGCTCTACCCCCCAGTGAGGACAATCAAAAATGTCTCTGATCATTGCCAATTGTCCCCCTTAGGGGGGCAGATTTGTCCCTGTTGAGACCCACTGTTATAGATCCCTCTCTCCACGCCCTCAGCCCTCAAACTGTGGAGACCCGTTCTTTAGATCAGCGTAGCTAATGGGGGCCACAGAGGCAGAGGGACTGTGTTTAACATCTCATTAAACCACAGCAAATTGATTTGAGTCCAGGATGGACATGGGCAAAGAGTGACCCAGGTGAGTTCAAAGCCAGCTTTGTCATTATCTGCCTACATGTGTTCATCTCTCTGAACCTCAGTGTTCCAGATCTGTGACATGGGAATAATAAAGCCTGCTGGTGTCCATAAATAAGAACAAATAAAAAGTGGGCATATTCGTGAAGAAATTAGAACCTTCCTACTTTGTTGGTGGGAATGTAAAATGGTGCAGCCGCTACAGAAAAGTTGAGCAGTTTCTCAAAAGAGTAACCAAAATTACCATATGACCCAGCAATTCCCCTCCTAGGTTTCCACCCAAAGGAATTGAGAGCAGGGACTTGAACAGATACTTGTATAACAGTGGTGATAGCAGCATTATTCACAATAGCCAAAAGATGGAAACAACCCACATGTCCATCAACTGCTGAATGGATAAACAAATCATGGTTCATCCGTACAAGGGAATAGTGTTCAGCCAAAAAAGGAAGTTCTGACACCTGCTACAACGCGCATGAACCTTGAAAACCGAAGAGCCTGTCACAAGAGCAGGGGGAAAGGGAGCTAGTGTTTCATGGGGCCAGAGTTCCAGCTTGGGCCACTGGAAAGTTCTGGAAGTGGGTGGTGAGGATGGCTATGCAACAGTGTGAATGTGCTTAGTGGCACTGAATTGTACACTTCAAAATGGTTATGGTGGTAAATTTTTTACATATTTTCCACAATTTTAGAAAACGAATAATGTAATATGCCAAAACTCCTGAATTATATGCTTTCAGGAGGTGAAATCTATGTAATTATGTGCCAATAAAGCTTTTTTTTCTTTATGTGTCCAGCAGCACATTTGGTAATAACATATGTTATTATTATAACATTATTATAGCTAATACTCCTCGATCACCTATTATGTACCAGTCACTGTTAGCGTTTTACATAAATTAAAGTCACCCAAACCTCATAGCAGCCCTGCAATGGGGCACAAATGTCCCATTTCATAAATGATTAAATTGAGGCTCAAAGTAAGGATAGGCTTGTCCCAGGTCGTGGCAGAGGTGGGATTAGAACCCGGGGCAGTGTAAATGGGATGTAAAAATGTACAGAGCCTCTGGGTGGCCCCGACATCCTTGGAGTCCCTCTAGCAGGGCAGGGGCTGAGCCAGTAAAGATTCGACCAGGGGCTCTTTCCCGGGGGGGCGACTCAGCTCGGAATTGGGGCTCAGCCTGGGACAAAGGACTCTATCCGCGGTTGAGGGCTCGGGCGGGATGGGGGGCTCAGCCAGTCTCAAGGAGCTCAGCCTGTGTCGGATCTCAACTCAGTGTGGAGGCTCAACCTGGAGCTGGGGGCCTTCAGCCGGGGTGGGGGCCCGGTCCCGGGTCCGAGTGTCTTGGCTGCGCCGTTTCTGGCCGTGCCCGGCAGGGGGCGTGCTCTGCCCACTGCCTGGGCCGGCGGCTCCTTAGCTTTCCCGGGAATGGTTTGCCGGGACGCGCGGGATCTGCGTGCTGGACAGATCCAAGCCACTCCAGAACCCAGACCCATCCAGTGTCACCTGCACCACGAAATCAGACCTCGCCCACCCCCCCCTCCACGGCGCTGTGTGGCCCCTAGCGAACGACGTCCTTCTCTGGGTCTCTGCCTCGCGCCTGCGCATTGGGACCACGATGGTGGCAGGGTGGGGATAGAAACCGGGGAGCCCTATTTCCCGGGAGTCTCCGGGAGCCCCTCTTCTCTAGCTTGGCGGCTTCCCCACCCGCGGGGCGCTTTGGGGGCCGGTGGCAGTGACCAGAGCACCGGCCCCCCACCCACGTCCTAAACCCGGGCGTAACTCGCACGGACCGCGACCCATCTGTACCCCACAGTCCATCCGTCTCTTCCCGCAAGACCCCTCTCAGGGCTCCTTAGGAAGCGGTTGGGCGGGCGGGCCCAGCACGGCCATCCTGGGGGGGCTCCTACAACTACCCCAAGGGCCCTGAGTGGGAGCTGCCTTCATCCCGGGGACTCGGCCTGCGGTCAGGATCACAGGCCCTGGGCGACCTCCTCTCCCCCGCACAGGGCGGGAAGGTCCTTAGCGTCAGTCCTCGGCCTCCGTCGCTCCCATCCCCCACCCCTCCTGGCCGCGGGGAAGGCGCGGAGGAGGGCGCTTGCCCAGCCGCAGGATGTATTTACAAGTGTCAGCCGTGCAGACGCCAGCCGGCCGCCTGCGTGTGGGAGGCGGCGTCTGCGGGGATGAACGGCCGCGTGTGCGCCCTTGTGCGCGCGCGGGTGGTTGGGGAGCGGCTGGCCTGATCTCTCCTTGCAAGAGGAACCTTCACTTTGGGGACTCCGTTGCTTCTAAGAGAGAGCGGGCGTCAACCACAGGAGGAAGCCGGGAGGGTCCTTTTTATTCTTGCCCGCTGACCATGGGCAAATCGTAGGTCCACTCCGAGCCTCCGTTTCCTCGTCTGTAAATCAAACGCATGATACCCATCATTCCGCATTGCAAAGACTGGCTGAGGATGCAGAAAGTGCTAAACCCAGCTTATGGAAGTAGGTCCTCTGCACACAGAAGACTTCAGAGGGTCAGGACAATCTGGGAAGGCTTCCTATAGGAGAAGGTCTTGGGCAACGAGGTGTGCTGAGGGTTGCGCCAGACAGCCTGTAATGTGTGATGTTGCTCAGCGTCTGTTCACCCTCATCTCCCGGGGAGGGGGGCACACGGTGCGGGTGGGAAATCGATTTCCGCCGCTGTCCTCAACACCCACCCGCCTATCTTGGTGACTTAATCGGGGCCTGAGCTGGGGGTGCCTCTGACCTCATCTTCCCACCTCTGCGAGGGTGTGTGAGCAGAACCCAGACACGGTAAAATAGTAACTCGGTGCTCCACGCCCAGCAGGAATCTGGGGCAACAGGCAGCTTCCGCGCGTTATCTCAGAGTCCCTGCCTCGACCCCGGAGGAAGGCTTTGTTAATTTCGTTAGCAGATAAGAAAACCGAGCCCAGAGAAGGAATTCACTGGCCTTGGGGACACAGAACAAACGTGAGACGGAGCTGCGTGCAATTGGTCTCCCTTCCTCCATCGCTCTCCTCTTCAGTGCATTCTCCCTGCAGCCGCCAGAGGGCATCCATGAGCACCTGAGTCAGGTGCCCCGCCCACAACCCTTTAGGGTCTCCATCTTCTTGGAGGTCAAAGCCCAAGTCCTCCCCCTGCCCCATGAGGCCCTGCACTAACTGCCCTGTCCCCTCCCTACCCCCTTCCCGTCGCTCACTCTGCCGCAGCCACACGGGCCTCCTCCTCGCTATTCCTCCCACACAATAGCCACTGCCCTGCCCCAGGACCTTTGCATGGGCTGTTCCTCCTGCCTGTAATGCTGTTTCCTCGAGATCTTCAAAGAGCATCGTCTCATCAGCTGCGGGTGAGGCGGGTGGGAGAGACCCCTGCTCACAGAAGGGTGAGGAGGTGGAGATGATGGAATGCCTTCTGCTCCATTCAACCCCTCTCCCTTCCTAGAGGAAGACCTTCAGTCCACCAGTGGCTCCTGGTCCTGGGAAATCCTCTTTCCTGGGCCCCTGTTTCCTCATCTGTAAAATAAACAGGTAACATTTTCCAAACCAGAGTCCATGGTTTCTTCCTTTTTCCATTCCCCCCCAATACCCATAGTTGTTAATTAATATTTTCCTTGCAACCCACTTACATTCGGAACATCAATAAATGCACTGGATTTTTCAAGTCTTTTTCTTCTAGCCACCTCGGTGAAAGAAAAATAGTCATCTCTTGGCATAGATAGAAGATAACTGGAAACAGAGTTTCATCTGAATCTAACTGGTGTACTGCTGTCTGCAGAAACACCCATCCGGTGGCATCCTGTGGGAGTAGCAGATGGGAGAAGCATCCCAGACCCCCCCAGGACCCAAATGAGATTTGCAAAACAATGGAAAGGACATTTAAGATAAGTCTCTTTGAAACTGCAGTTCAAGGTTATTTCACACCACGCCAAGCAGCTCCTGAAGACATGTTATTTATGCACTGGGGGCATACAGCCCTATGCCTAGCCTTGATGCCCACTCAACAATATTTACTGGATGCCTGCTGTGTAGAGCACTGTTCTAGGTGCTGGGGAAGCAGCAGTTGGAGAAAATGGATGAAATTTCCTGCCCTGGTAAGGCTGACATTCCAGGGGGGAAGACACACAGTAACAGTCCAATGACATGTGTATAATGGCAGGTGGAAAAGTTCTCTGGCCAAAAATGAAGCCGGTTATCAGAGGGACAAGATGTTCAGAGAAGATGTCTCAGAGGAGGTGACATTTGAGCAGAGACCTAAAAGAGGTGAGGAGGAGCTGTGTGGGTATCTGTGGGAAGAGCATTCCAGGCAGAGGCAACAGCATGTGCAAAGGCCCTGAGGCATTAACTCTGGTGCACTCTTGTTTGGTGAATGGTTGGAGACAGGATGCAAGAGAATTGATGCTTCCTGGGTTCACACTTCCAGGGCCCCAGAGATTCCATTTTTAGTCACGGTCCTTAGGGAAATACTTTGCCAAGAGCAAAGAAGGATGTGTAAAAATTGTTCACAGCGGCAGTGTTTGTAATATTAAACACTAGGAATTAATCTAAACATCCATGGAGAAAGAGAACACATAAATAAATTAAGACCTATTCACATGATGAAATCGTGTAGAGCAGAAAAAATAATTAGATCTATACACTAATAATATCTAACATTTGTTGAGCACTTACTATGTGCCAGGCACTGTGCTAAGTGTTTTATGTATGATAACACACAGCAGCCCTTAGAAAACCAGCCTAGAAAGTAGAGAGTACTAGGATCTCTATTTTCCATATGTGGCAGCTTTAAATTGTGTCCAATAATTCTTTGGCTATTGAAGGAATGGAGCTTAACTCCCTCCTCCTTGAGGGTAGGCTGGACTTAGTGACTTAGTTTTAATGCATAGAGTAAGGCAGAAGTGACAATGTGTGCCTCCTAAGACAAGGGCATGAAAGGCACTCTGACTTCATCCTTGCTCTCTCTCATGGATCACTCAGTAGGGAGGTAAGCCAGCCGCCATGTTGTGAGGATGCCCAAGCAGCACGACTGAGAAGTCCATGTGTAGAGGAACCGAGGCCTCCCACCAACAGCCATGTGCATGGACCAGCTTGGAAGCGGCTCCCCCAGCCCCAGTGGAGCCTTCAGAACCATCCAGATAAAAAACTCAATTTTTTGATCATTAGAAATGTTAAGAGATAATGTTTGTGGTTATCACACTGTTAAGTTTGGGAGCCCTTTGTTATTTAGCAATAGATCATGACTCGGAGGAAACTGAGGCAGAGAGAGGTTAAATAACTTTCCCAAAGTCACAGAGCCTGCACGTGGCAAAGCTTGAATTCAAACCCCATCAAAAATAAAATGTTCAGTGTAAAAAGGAAATTGCAAAATTTTGTATACCATGAGTACATAAATGAATATTTTTACTGCACGAAATAATCCTATTCACTGTTCATGAATATAAGTGGGTGAGAGTATGTACGTCTATAAACATATAAAAAGGTGTGAATAGTGGTGGGGATCAAAGGAATGTCATGGTTAGTTCTCATATTTTGTTTCTTAAAAATGAAAAAGACCTGAAGTAAGTATGACGAGTGTTAATCATTCACTGTTGGTCCCAGTGGAAGATACACAGGTGTTTCCTATATTCATCTTTGCACTTTTCTCCAAATTAAAAATAAATGATTATAACAGAGAGAAAAAGTGGTGGAGGATTTAAATAGGTGGAGCAGGGGTGGGAGGGTGTTTCAGTCATAGGCACCAGCTTCAGCAAAGACCTGGAGGCAGCAGTGAGCATGGTCTTTTTGGAGAATGAGGAAACTTAGGGTGGTCATTCTACACCCTGGGGGTACATTTGAATCAGGTACCCAGCCCCCAACTTCAGACCAGATAATCCAGAATCTCTGGGACAGGGGATAGGGTGGAAGGTGGTGGTAAGAATTGAAAGCTCCCCAAGTGATTCTAATATGCACACAGCATTGGGAACCACTGGATACACGGTCCAGTGCAGTAGTCACTTAAAACATGTTTGTGTGCCGCAAAGTGATTCCTGCGGGAGAGTGATCGAGAAGGAGAGGGGGGTGGGCAGGCCACGTCTGTCAGCCTGTAGTGTGGACTGAGGAGAAGTTGGGCAGCTAAGATCCAGTTCCCTTAATTGCACTTCATGAATTACCATCACTAGCATAAGGGAATTGTAGGTGGTGACAAGTGCTATAAAGAAAATGCAAGAAGATGATGGCATAGAAAGTGACGGGGCAGCTGTTTGAGTTGGGGTTGTCAGGGAGGGCTTCTTGGAGGAGGTGATATTTGAACAGAGACCTGGAGGGTGAGCTCGGGGCAGCCCTAATGGTGTGGGAAAGTTGTGCCAGGTAGAGTGAAGAGCAAAAGAAAAGTCTCTGAGGAGGTGACAAACATATAAACAGAGGGTTCCAGCACAGGGTGACCAGGCAGGCACCCTGGCTCAGGCGGAGGGGGTCAGAGTGAGGTTTCAGGGAGAAGGCATCTGGGATCCACAGGATGAATTTTCCCAGTTCAGTGCTGTCGCCTCTCAGAAAAAGGACCCCTCCCCCCGACCTCTGAGGGAAACAGCACCTGAATCGAGGCGCATATTTGTTGCAGGGGAGCAACAGCGCTTAGCCTGGTGCTCATGGACCTCGGTTTGGGGAAAGAAGCAGCAGTTAAAAAATGTAATTCCGTTCTCCATCGCGGGCGGTGGAGGGAGTTGGGCGGGGGGAGATGGAGGGGTTAGAGGATGGGGGGATGTAAATGCACAGGGCACCTGCGGGGTCAGGGCTGCTGTCAGGAGACCTCTGGGGCCCTCAAACCCCCCACCCGCTCTGGTCCTGCCCCCCGACAGTTTGGTGCCCACACAGCCATGACTGCAGTGGCCAGTTGAAATCCCAGACCATCATCCCATCCTGGGCTGCCCCGAGCTCCAGTGGCCGCCCCCCCAGCGTCCTGCCAACAAGCCCAAATGCCACCTGCGCCTCCACCAAAGGAAACTGCTTTCCAGCCTGTCTCACCGCCAAGCCTTTGCCCGTGCCGTTCCCTCTTCCCCTTCCAGAAACAGACCTCAAGGAAGAAGTCATGCATGTGGCCTTAGTCACCTGTGTGAGAAATGACCCTGATCTTAGAGGCTCCAAGCAACACCCGTTGCTACTCACAGCCACGGCTTAGTGAGCATCCTGCTTCAGGGTCTCATAAGACCACATTTAAGGATATGGATGGGGTCATGGTCTCCTCTAAAGGCACGACTGGGGCTGGCTCGGCTTCCAAGGGTGGTGGAGGGCAGGTTGGCAGCAGCCAGTTCCCTGCAGGCTGGCCTTCCCCACCAGGGCAAGCATGCAAACAGAGCCAGTGAGAGATAGATGGGCAGGGGAACCAGCAGTACAGAAGTTACAATCTTACGTAACCCAATTAACCCTTAGAAATCACCTTCCATCACTCTTGCTATATTCTGTTGATTACAAGTGAGTCATAAACCCCACTCACACCCAGTTGGAGGGGATCACACAAGCTAGAGGTGAGGATCCTTGAAGAGCCATTCTAGAATTAGGGCTCTAAACTTTAAGGACATTACATTATGGTTTTG